TTTATTTATTTTATTGATAGTATCTCTTTTAAAATTTTTCGTGTTCACCTTAAAATATTTCTTTTATTTGATAAGTTACTTATTTTACGTACGATGTTCACCTTGCAATTTTATGTTGTTAATATATAAATACAACAACAACAATAAAACTCTATTCTCATATGCAATGGGGTGAGGTAGGGTAGTAGGCTGCCACCAACGCCAGGTAGAGAGCAACTTCCGTGGAAGACATCTGGCAGTCAGAAAATTAAAAATAAAGATAAAATGCAATGCATGTATAAATAAATAAATAAATACATAGTTAAACATACTTCATATGCAGTCTTCATATACGCATATATAATGAGATGTAATCCTGACCAATAAATCCCTGCATATAGACAGAAAACGTAAGTCTCGGTTAAATTTAAAAATAGGAAACAAGAAGAGAATAATACACAGTAGTCATCGATACCAAGCTACGAGAATGTATAAAGTCAAATGTGATTAAAACCTAAACTAAGGTAACACTACTCCGCTACCCTAGTTCTAAGCCTTCATAAATTCCAATGACACTACCGTATAAAAAGTAGAAGTCATGAAAATTACTACAAATATATTAAAAAAAAGAAGACATAGATGTTATACCTGTGGTTGTGGCCCACACTACTCGACTACTTTAGTCTTAAGTCTCCATACGTTCCTGTCAGAGATCATGTCCTCGGTAAGAGTTAAATCCTTCAAATCATATCTCAAGCAGTCTACTCACTTCCGCCTAGGTCGTCCTCTCCTTCTGACACCGTCGACTGTAATCGATTATACCCTCCTGACTGCATCCGACAGTTGTCACCTAAGGACATGCCCAAACCACCGTAGTCTTCTCTCCCTCAATTTTTCAGATACATGCATCCCTAAAAAATATTTTTGAATCTGTATTGTTAACGAGGCATTTATTAATTTTCGTTGTATGATTTCTTGATAATAAAATCATACATTTTAAAAATTAGGGAGATGACAATTTAATTGAAATTCGATGAATTTTAATTTAATTTTCTAAAATTAAATACATTAAAATTTAATCTTAAAATAAAAGTTTTTTATTTAAGATAATAATATACTTTTATCTCTAAATTTAAAGTAATTGTTATAATCAGTCTTTTTCTATTATATTATTTTAAGGATAATGTAGACAAATGGTATCTCGATTATAGGGTATAACATCACTTTGTTGAGTCCCTCGATTATTAGAAAATATAAAATTATCCTTGAATTATTGGGTGTTATTTTGTTGGTCCCCTAACTAGTAAAAGTTACAAAATGATCACTCAATCATTCATAAGTTATAAACTCGTCATTTTTTGTTAAAAATTTAGCGGCCCTTTGAGTTGAAGGTCAGCCTATTGACTAGGATATGATAAAATATTATCTTAAAACTATTTGAGATGTTCTTTGTAGATCTATTATCCATTTACCTTATATCATCGAGTTAATGCTTAAAACATTATAAAGTCGAACTAGTACTTGAAAACAACGACAATATCTATAGTGATAATTAAAACATAATTTTATCATATCCTAACCAACATGTTAACGTCAAACTCGAACGAGCATCGATTTTTTAACAAAAAAAAAACGAGTTTAGAATATATGAATAGACAAATGAATATTTTGTAACTTTCAATAGTCAGAGTATTCAATAAAATAGTGTCATATAGTCGAATAATAATTTTGTAACTTTTAATATTCGAGGAACTCAACAAAATAATAAATAAATATCTTTACATGTCTATTTTACTCATTTTTTTTCAACTACATTTATATTTTACTCATTAAAATGAAATTTCTTTATATTTGAGTCAAATCAAATTAAGTCGAATGTAATTTTTTAAAAAATTTACAATTGAAATTTGAGTTGGACGATATCTTTTTACATTTATATTGTACCAAATTTCGAATGAATGATATATTTTTTTATCAATTCGAATTAATAAAAATTTCAACCTAAATCAACTCACGATGATTCATATAAATTCTTAGGCCTAATAAATCATGCAAAAGGACAATTAAATATATTAAAATATAAATAAATATTCAATCATTATTTCATATGAATGTTTTTTATCTCACGAATTGATTAGAGAATTATCATTATTTTATATTTTCAAACATAATCGAATATGCACGACAATCCTTCAAATACTTTGCACTATGGGTCAGCTTCACTTGACTCAAAAAGTCGATTTTTTTTAATTTCGAGTTATTCGAGTCAATTTAAATTATCAATTTAATTTTCAAGTCGAGTTGAAATTTTAAAATTTCGAGTTACTAGAAAAATCGGAATTTTGACTAAGTATTTTGACAGCTTTATTATTTAGTCATTGATTTCATTATTCATAAATTTTTTCCACCATTTTAAGTTCATTTTCTACCAAATTTGAACTACATGCTCCTAAACCATAGTATAAAACATATGTACTTTCAATCTATCTTTTTTGATAACACATTTTTTATTTTTCAATTTAATCCCTCAATTTTTTATAATTTCCTTATTTATTTAATTCATGATTTATTTTAAGTATGTTTTTACCAAATTTGAGCCGCATGCTCATATACCACAATAAAATATCTATGTAACTTCAATTCTTACTTTTTCAGTAAAAATATACTTTCTCTTTTCTATTTAGTCCCTTAAGTTGACATTTTACTCAATTTGATCTTTTGGTTATAATTGTTTACAAATTCTTTGTTCACATCAATTCCTTAACTCCTTTATACTCTCATCAATGTTTGACTCTTAAAATACTTTATTTAAAATATAATAATATGGATATATTTTTATAACTGTAGATTGTATTTGACATATTAAATAACGCTATAATGTGAAAAGAATGTAAAGTATACAGAAACTATAATAACTCGACTCGAAAAAATTTAAAGTTAAATTCAAGTCGTAAAATACGACTCGTCGGCTCGAATAACTCGAGATTTTTTTACTCGAGTCGACTGGACTCAATCGAAGGCTCATCCCTACTTTTTCATGTTATAAAATAAAAAAATATATAATTCAAATATTAAATCAATTATTTAATCCATGATCGAGTCCTTGACTCCTTGTATTACATTAAACTTGTTTTAATTAAATAAATGTGCATGCTTTGGTTAATTAAGCATGCGAACGGCCTAATATATCTTCAATATAACATATATCAAATTTAGTAATCTACACAACAACTTAAAAGTTGTCTTTAATAGTTTAAAAATGAAAATTCCTTGTAAGTTCGTTGACCGGGCCAAAGCTGCTGCTTCCTTGAGCAACATTTCCATCGTTAAGGATAAACCAAGGGGAAGATTGGCTCAATATCGTGGACGGTTTAATTATTTAGCCCAATATAACATAAAGTAAAAGTATTACCGTAATTTAACGCGAGGAGTTTTAATAAAATATATATTTATTTAAACTTTTTATTTTAATGTAATAAAATCTTATAAAAAATATATTTTATTATAATCCATCACATCGATGTGATAAACTTGAATAAAAAATATTATTTGGATAAACTCGTTACGTTGACATAATGAATTTGTCTTATACTATAACATCTTTTTATTTTTTTATAAGATTTTATTTTACTGATGAACTTATAAAATTTTAAGAGTGAAAATAGATTAACAATAAAAATTAAAAAACATTTAAATTATATTTAAATTTAAAATTTTTAGAAATAGAACAACTTCCCCAACAATATTATATTCGGTTCGTGTTTGATCATAATTACAACTCATACCAAAGGATATGGTACGCTTATGTTGTTACAGTGACTATAGTAGTCTAGTTTTACTTTATTTAACGATAGAGCGATAAAAAATGGTGAATTGAAAATTTAGTGATTAAATTAATTTTTTTGATAAACTACGTGTTCAATATCTAAAGTATTAGTTTTAATTAGTTTTAGTACATAAATTTTCAAAAATTTCAAAATGATACCTAGAATTCAGTTTACGTTTCATTTTAGTCCTTCGTCGCTAAAAACTTTAGATTTTGTTTCATTTAAGTACCCTCGTTCAAAATTTAAAGTTAAGTTTTGAAAAATTGAAAGTTTAGGTGTTAAAACGGACCAAAACTGATAGTTTAGGTATTAAACGTGTTAAGATTTTAAGGACGATGTACTAAAATGAAATGAAAACCAAACGTTAAGCATGGTTTAAAAAAATAATAGTTTAGGTACTAAAATGAACTAAAATTGATAGTTTAGATAATAAATGCGTAGTTTACCCTAAATTTGTTATAAACTAATGATTAAAACAGGAGAAAAACAAAAATTAAGTGATTAGATTTATGATTTACTCTTTTATAAAGCACTGCATAACCTAAATATATTTTCTTAAAATTCCACCCATAAATATTATTAAACACTGATTAGTCCCTTTCCATGGAAAAAAGCCATGATCCAACGGCTGTAAACGTCCAAAGGTTTTCATTCGACCCTCCTCCATATTTCCCCCAGCAAACCCTAAAATCATAAAATAACCCACGGATTAGAAATCAACCAATCAGATAATGACACGTCATAGGTACAATCGCACTTATCAAATTGTATAAAGGGTATTCTCTTGCACGTACTTTTTGTTTTCTGCGCACCCAGAAGTCAAGCACCCAATCTTGCCTCTTCAATTGAACCAACGGATCAAACGCGCTCTCGCTCAACGCGTGAGTCTCCCCCGAGGAATCTTTTGGACAAAGTGCATAAGAAGTCACTGAACTATTATCAAATAATCGTTTTAGTTACCAAAATTTCAAATATTACAGAGTTTTCATTGAATTTTATTGAATCATTATTAAAATTTATCAAATTATTACAAAATTATCATTAAAATTATCTAAATTTTATTCTTATTATAAAATTTCAGTAGTTATTTTATGGAGGTTTAGTGAGTAAAATATTATTTGAACATAGTTAAATGATCTTTATTGTATTTTACCATCTTTTTAGCGTTAAAACGTTAGCAACGCGTACAAGCTTCTCTCTTCAAAATCCAACTAACACGACGAGACGGAGACTCCTCCCTTTTAACTTTCTCATTTTTTTTCTTCCTTTGGATTCAAAGCTATATTTTTGGGGGTGATTTCGTTAAAACCCTAAACTCCTCCCCCACTCATAGTTATACGAAGGTAATTTATTAACTCTTAGATTTATTTTCTCTTTTAATTGTTTTTTTGTATTTTTTAATTTTCTCAGATCCGTTCTCGTTTTAGTTTTTGGCGCTTCTGTGCTTCCTTTCGGTTCTGTTAAGCTTAGTTCATCTGTATGCACGCATAGCAGCTTTAAATTTACGATCTTCTCTTTATCCTACATTTGATTTTTTTCTTTTTTGAATTATTATTCCGTTTTTACTTGATTTTTTTTATAATTCACAGGCATTGTTGATATTTTGCTAGTCAAACGAGCTTTTCATTCTGGATTTTATTTCTGCTTTGTTTAGTCTCTTTCTACCGAGTGTTTCATGATGTAAAGCAATCAGATTTTGTTTGTAGTTTCTTAATGGAGCTTGTAAATGTGGTGGAAAAGCTTAAATCTCTTTTGTTGGGATTGGAAAGCTGGAAAAATGTTTTTTTTAGCACTTGGATTATGTTTTAATTTGAAAATGTTATTTTTTTTTGGAGTGAAGTTTTTAATTTGCTTATCTGCGATTTCTAGTAGTCTAATTTTGTGTTGCATTGCGAAGAATTGGAAGCCTAAAATTTAAACAAATAATACAAATTTCTTGACTCTTAGATAGTAGGAAATATTTTATGCTCTTTTTTTTTGTTTCATTAATGATTGATTGATGATAAGAATTTTGCTTTTTGTCTTTCGGTATTTAAGGAATCAACCTACTATTGATAATGCACGGGTAAGCTGAATATTAAAATTTTATTAATTTTGACAGGGGGAGAGCAAAGCTTTGCGGGTTTCGACATTTCAATTATGGATTTAGAAGACAAATATCTTGCTAAAGGTATATAATCATATTTGCCATCTGTTTATTTATAACTTCATGTTTTTATTTCGTTAACCGCTCCTATGTAATCCATGTTCTTGGAAGAGATTGTCCGTCGAAGATGAGTAATACGATAGTTGTATCAGTCTAGCTTCATTTTGTAATGCTTTTATTGTTGTTTGTAGTACCGATATAAATGACTTTAGAACTTGAGAAAAGATACTTTAAACATCTGGGATTAGAAGTTTCTATATAGATTTTACTTGATTATAATTGATGGAGGTTGATGAAATGGTTTGTTTGAAGATGAGTAATAAGATTCTATAAAGATACTTTATTACTGATGGATGGTATAATTTTCAGTCATTTGATTATGCTACTTCCAATAATTCCACGAAAATTCTCTTTTTTTTTTTTAATTTAAAGGTTGATGGTTTGCATATGTTCACAGAATTTATTATCACTGGTGTTTACAAGTAATGTGCTTACAGCTTTCTCTATGATCACTGATCAAGTTACAAATATAACTCTTTCAATAATTCAAACTTGTTTGAACCGTTGCGTTGACTGCATTTATATTTCTTTAGATGATCTGATCCAGTTCAATAAAAATTATTATTTTTATTTCCTTTACGGGGTATATAAATATAAGTGATTCTTTTGAATCCTCACTGTATTGGATAACTTGACTCGGGCTGCTTTGCAAACCTCTGCTGCAGCCTGCTCCATGGATTCACTTCCGGAGTGAAATTCCTTCAATTTGTATCTTTTTCTCATTCTTTTCGTTGTAAAGAAGGATCTCGTGTCTGTCAGGTATATCTTGGCCATTTATAGTTATATTTGGAGTGAATGATTTGCCTCTCTTTTTCTTTAGTTCACTTGTATGGTTAGCTTTTATGCATTTTTTTTTACTTTCGGTAATTTTTTTGTTTAACAAATATGTGCCTTTTGCTGTCATCTTTAAAATAAATGGGATTATTTTCTCCATCTGTTTTTATTTTTTAAACAAAAAACTTAAGCTGCTTTTTGTTTCATATATTTTATTGTATGCACAAACCATAGTAAATTCTTGGATCATCTGCTTCACTTGGATGCTATTTTATATTCCTATTTTTAGTTACATTGCAGGATGACCTTACCTCTAACATCTGATATGCTTCAGTCATGTGCAGATAATTATAGCATGGCTCTTAAATATTTGAATTTGGATTATGCTTCTCAGAAATCTTATGTGAAAGAATGGAACATAATTTTTGATTTCACAACTTTTCCTTCTCATTTAATTTTTTAGTGGAAATAGGTTGAATTGCATCTCATCATGGATAGATATATTTACGTGCTAATTCTCAGTGAAATTTTAGGAGTAAATAAAACTAGAGCATTCAACAGCCTAATCTGGCTGATTACATTTTCGTTATTGTTCCTTCTGTTTCTAGTTATTGTTTAGATTATTGGTACTGCCAGCATCTTTTAGAATTTAGATTCAAATTCCTTATACTTGCATAGTTTGTCTAGTTCTGCTTATATTAATGCTAATATGATATTTTATCTCCTTTTTCCTTTTCAATTTTTTGCAGTTTGACTTACTGAAATCTTGCGGTTAAATTTTGCTTTCCGTAAGATATTTTGTCTTTTGAGAACTAATTGACAGCTTTAAATAGCAAATTTAAATAATGAGTTAAAAGACTCCAACTTTTATCATGACTTTTCCAATAATGCGAAAGTCTTTAAAAAGAGCCTAGTTATGAAGTTACAGACGCTAAGGGGTTGAGAATGGGACCAAAAAGTACATAAAAAAATGGTTGCAACAAATATCAGGCTACTTAATATTGAATAAAGAAACTCATAAATGGGAGTTCACTGGGAAGAAGAGGAAGTTATGATTCATGCCTATTGACATGGAACACCAAAGCTCAGCTTCTTTCACCACATTATTCATCCACAATACTAGTACTTTTTTTTCTTTTTTAAACTGTCTTTGAAAGTTCCAAGGAATGGTATCTTTTTTCTTATCTTAATACCTTGGTTTTTGTTCCTTCTAAGTCTTTTCAGCCTCACCAATGACTTTCTCACGTTTCTTTCTCCATACAGTTTCTGGCTTACAAAGTCTTTCTTCAAGTGTGCAAAGCACCCCAGATAAAAATGGCCATTCAGATGATGCTTCGATAAGTCCAAAACTCCTCCAAGAGTTCCTGAAATCTGGTTCAAGGAAAGATCTTCTTCGAACCTGTTGTGATCAAGACGAGAAAAATTCAGCTTCTTCAAAGAGCAAAATGAATGAAGCTTTGAAGTTGTGTAACAAGCCAATCAAAAAGTCAGAGTTAAGAAAGGCCTCATCCACTGCCAACAGTCAGCCTTCCTCTAGGAAACAAACCAGAAAAGGGGAGAACCCTATTAGGGTGCTTCCAACTTCCGAGCAGCCTTCAGATCAGGGAATTTCTAACTCATGGACATGTAAAAATTCTGCTTGCAGAGCTGTTCTGTCCATAAACGACACATTTTGCAAGAGATGCTCGTGTTGCATCTGTCATTTATTTGATGACAACAAGGATCCCAGTCTTTGGTTGGTATGCACCTCTGAATCTGGTGAGGGGGACTTTTGTGGGCTGTCATGTCATATAGAGTGTGCGCTTCAACGTGAGAAGGTGGGGGTTGTTGATCTTGGCCAATTAATGCAGCTGGATGGTAGCTATTGTTGTGCTTCTTGTGGTAAAGTTTCAGGTATACTTGGGTAAGTAATTGGCTTGAAGCTCATGCCTCATTCAACTTGATGGGTTTTGTTCTCTCCCTAGCCTTACAATCTGCTTTTATTTCCATGTTTATCATTGTGTCAATTATTGCTAGAGATTTGATAATGGAAACTGATTCAACCTAATGAATCAGATTTTAGAGAACCAGTTGCTATTTCTGTCATGATGTTTGTTGGGTTTTTAGCTTAGATTATCAGGTTCATGTGGTTTGCTTGCTCCTGGCAGATGTTGGAAGAAGCAGCTAAGTATAGCTAAGGATGCTCGTCGCCTGGATGTACTTTGTTATAGAATATACTTGAGTTACAGACTCCTAGATAAGACTTCTTACTTTAAAGAATTGCATGAGTTTGTGAAAGATGCAAAGGCCAAACTTGAAACAGAAGTGGGCCCTGTGAATGGGGTTTCTGCTAAAATGGAACGGGGAATTGTCAGCAGGCTTTCTGTTGCTGGTGAGATAAATAAACTATGCTCTCTTGCAATTGAAAAAGCAGATGAATGGTTGACAACCATTAACACTAAACCAAAGTGCCAAGGTTAGAACCTGCTGTGGCTTCTATGCCTTATGGCTATTTTGAAGTTAGTTATATGAGTGACAGTTTTTTTTCATATATGGGCAGATTCACGTCCTGCTGCTTGCAGGTTTCTATTTGAAGAAGTAACGTCGTCATCTGTTGTAATTATTCTAATTGAACTGTCAACTGCATCATATGATGATATTGAGGGCTATAAGCTCTGGTATTTCAAGAGTAGAGACAAGACACATACAAAAGAACCTGTCTGTGTCTTTCCAAGAACTCAGAGAAGGATTTTGATAGCTAATCTGCAGCCCTGTACTGAGTACACCTTTCGTATTGTTTCTTTCACTGAAGCCGGTGACTTGGGTCATTCTGAGGCTAAATGCTTTACCAAGAGTGTAGAGATAATTCACAAGAATCCTAATTCAACCGTTGTCATGAATCACAAGAAGGATAATGCCCTTACTGAAGGAAGTTCTTCAGGTTCAAAGGAGCTCACAGAAGAAGATTCATCTGTATTTAAGGTTCGAGACCTTGGAAAGATCCTGCGTCTCGCTTGCGCTCAAGAGCAAGGCTGCTTTGAAGGGTTTTGCAGCACTGATATAGACAAATGCCGTGAAGCTAGCAAAATTGTTAAGCCTGAAACTCAAGAACATGATCATATGCCACCTGTTTCGCGCGGGCTTGACTTAAATGTTGTCTCTGTCCCTGATCTTAATGAAGAACTTACTCCAGTCGAATCCTCCAGGGATGAAGATAATGGTTGCACTTTAGGACAGGCCATGGAGGCAGATGACGATGCTGCTTCACATGGAATAGAGAAGAACGGATTGGCAAGATCACATGGTAGTGGTGATTCCCAGACCTGTGCTAACGGACCAACAGGGGAAGTGCCTGCTGTTGATTCCCATACGGTGTTGTGCAGGAAAAGAGCAGCAAACTCAAATGAAGAGGCACATGACTGTGATAGCGCTCTAATAAATGGGTCACCCTTTCAAATCTCCAATTATTCTACTTCCTTGGAGGATACCTTCGAGTCCTGTGTGAAGATATTCAGATGGCTAGAATGTGAGGGACATATTAACCAGGAATTCAGATTGAAATTACTAACATGGTTTAGCTTAAGGTCAACAGAGCAGGAACGTAGGGTGGTCAACACATACATTCAAACCCTGATTGATGATCCAAGTAGCTTGGCAGGGCAGTTGGTTGATTCGTTTTCAGATATCATATCTAGCAAGAGGCCACGTAATGGATTCTGCAGTAAGCTGTGGCACTAAATTACTGCTACGCATTCTCAACTATAGGGTTCCGAAGATCGTTATTATTTTTTCTAGCGATAAACTTACCCCTGATCGTTCCACCAACTTGTATAGCTATTTTTTCCCATTCACTATCGAAAGGTGATTCTTTGTATCACGGACTTGCAGCTGAAAGATTTGGCTCGCAGATTGCTGGCAGGACTCCCACTAAAGTTAAAGCGGAACCTTGGATGTACCCGGGGTTTCGTTTTTTCAGAAGCATTTTTCATTTCCTAAAACATCTTAGTTACATTTGAAGCAGTAGACATTTAATCGTGGGAGAAAATATTTATGTATGGATGCTTTCATTTCTGACTTCTGTAATTCAGAGAAGGTTATATGAATCGCACACTATTTGGTTATGTATTTGTAAAATTTTTGCATAACCTTGGAATTCTGCACCTTACCGTTTTCCTGTTTGGTGTTTTCGCTGAAGAACTGTATTGAGATAATATGGTTTATCTATGTTCGGCAACGATAACTCTGGTAGACTGCCATTGACCATCTGATGGTATGCAGCTCAAGGCCTGGTCTATAAAGCCTTTTGAATTAACATGTACCATGGAGAAAGAGGGAAAGAGAAACAGGGCAACAGTAGGAAATTTTCTTTTGGAGCTTCAGCAGTTGTTTAATGTTAAGGTGCATGGACGAACAACTTGAAAACAGTGTTGTTTCTGGTTTAGATAGATCAGATTTTGAACCATTAACTTTAATTTTGTTCTGCAGACAACCGAAACATACACAAAGCTCAACGGCCGCCATTCACTAACTTCTTGTACTTCCTTTTTTTGCGGCTAACAAGGGAAAAGAAAAGTTGTACCTTCTCTTTTCTTTCACTTGCAAACTATCTTCGTGAACTACTAGCTGCTTCTTTCAGCCTAAAAAACCGGATAGGCCTAGATCTGTATCACATAAACTGGTCCAGGTTTTATCTTCATTGCCCCCTTAATCTGCCTCAGGTGAAGCAAGTAGTAATACTTCATAATTTATCCAAGTCACAACCCAGGAAGATTCAACTCGTACTCTGTATAGTCTTTTGTTTGTTTGTCTAGGAGTGATCTTATCGAGCTAGTCTTAGGACTCATCTGTGAAATTTTTTTACGGCGCAATGGATTATCAATCGTCGATTTGTCTGTTTTTAATCAACTTCTGTTGTGTTTTATTAAGCATTAAAACTGAGTGTTAAATGTGCTGGAGATGCTTGTCAAGTTTATAGTTGATTGTTGTTTTGATTTTGGCAGCTTTCTTCTTGTGGTGACAGCAGAATGTCTCAAGTGACTGATGGTCCATTTTAGAACCTTGAAGTGCACGTCAGGCAACAGTGTGCCGAGATTCACCAGCCAGGTACTCACATGTCTCCTTTTCTTCTGGTATTCCTTTTAGTTGCTCTCGATGATTATAAATGCTTCTTTGGCATACTGTTGAGAGTAAAGACAGAATGACCTTTCCCCAAGTGTGGTATATAGCTCATTGATTGTACATAGATCGTTCTGGTCAATAACGGCGATAATATCACTGGTTTCGTCATCTTATCCGGAAAAAATGTGCACCACTAGATAAAAGAAAGCTTGTACTTTCATGTTTGCCTAACAAATCATTTTCCACCATATGATTTTTAGCTTTGCTGGTTTGCTGCTTTTGTCATTTAGCACACAGAAGTCTACAATTGGGGAGAGAGTGTGCAGGCCACAACTAAAGAAAATCCATAGTGAAATCCATTTTAGTTGTGTTTCCTTGACAAAGTGATTAGATTAATCAATCAAAGATCCTTTGTTCTCTTTGTAACAAGAAAAAGAATGACTTACACGAGTCTTACTTGGTGGAATGCCCACAGGCTTCAAGTCCATGTTTTGTGCCTTCTTTGTGTGTGCGTGTCTATATATATATATATATATATATATATATGTATGTGTGTGCGCGCCTGTATCGGGTAAATACTCGTATCTGACGCCCGAGTCCAAGTGACATAGGAAAGTGAACATTCGCATTTTTGGCTTAACTTTGAGTATAAACGGATTGGCTATTATAGTTCAACTTGTACAAACCATGACTTGAGCATTTTCAGTTGAAGAATGGCCTCCATTGACATATAGAAAACCATATTTCCTCCCTTTCATACTGTATAAAATCATGTCATGATTCGAGCGTACAAATCTGGAAGCACTGTGTTAACCTTGGGGACGAAATCGCTTCTAAGACATTCGTTCTCCATGACACAATAAATCGTTCTTTATTTCCTTTTAATTTTATCACCCTTCATAACGTGTTTGTTTTGCAGTAGTATTTTTACCAACAATGGACTCCGATTCTATCTAGAGTCGATCCGGCTTGAACCTCTAAACCGGAGGAGCACAAAGCTCTCTCGACTCCGACATCGAACTCTTTACGACTAGACTCGTTTAAGTGTCGGTCCAGTCAGTTTTACCAGGCAGATAAGACGGTACATTAAACAGGCAAGACTTTAGCAAGTTGAATAGTCTGCTGCAATAGGTAGCAGCATTTAAAGAAAAAACATGTTTTATTGAATAAAGGGTATGTAGCCCTATGGCAATTTAAGAAGACAGTTGAATGTCATAGGGCATTAAGCAGCGTTAGGAACCGTCTTTTTAATGAGCAAAACTACTTTGTGTTGTAGGGATATGGTCCTATGGATCTAACAGGAACCGTCCTTTTAATGAGGCTCCTCTCTTTTTCGACTTTTATTTATTTGTTTATTTACTTACCCTTTTGGCTTTAAATATTTGTCCTTTTCCCATAATAAATGCTTTCTCTTTAATGCATAGAGAACTCCAATGAATCCTTTGGCAGTTGCCAAATGGGAATTTGCTTTTGCTATCTGGCTCCAGTTCAGGGCTTTGTATAGGTGTGTGAACCGCATGGGTCCATCTATCTATTTAACCATGTAAATGAACCGATCATATGGTAATTTAAACCGAAATCGACGGGTTTCGACTTGATCTAATTTGATAAGCTTAGATTTTTTTTATAAAAAAAAACGGATTCAATCAGGTTGGATTTTTTAAAGGGTAAGGTTTGATCGGATTCGAGTGGATGGTGAAAAACTTCGACCAGACCCGAAATGGGATAATAATGTAATTTCTTTAAAACATTTATTATTATTTTTAATTGAGTCCTTATTTTATATTGGGTCGGGTCGGGTCAATTTTTACCCTTAAAATTTGGGTTAGGTTGTAGTCGGATGGAAACTATATATTTTTCAAATAGGGTTGGATAGGGTTCGGATGGAGAATACATATTTTTCGGGTCGAGTCGGGTTGACAAAAACTCTATCCAACTTGACCATTTGTCATACCTAAATCGATCAGGTGGCTTCAATGATAAAAAGAAATGTTAATTTTTTTAGATCCTGTGTTTAATCAATTGTATTTACAGAACAAATGTATAATGTCAAATAATAAAAAAACTAACATATATTATATTATAATCACCTAAATTACTTCCGCCGCACAGATTTGAGATATAAGGATAACACAAATCTCTCTAATTAAGTTTTGAATGTTGTTGTGTTTTTAAGGATTTAAATAGTTAAATTCTAAACTTTAGTTACTTTAGAGAGCTAATTGTCAAAATATGGCTCTCGTTTTAATTTAATTATCAAATTTTTATGCATTCTAATTTCATCCCTAAATTGTGTTCCTTATTCTAAATTGGTTCTCAAAGTTTTGAATTTTCAATTTCATCCAAATATGTAATTAGTTTCAACTATAGTTTAATCTAATTTTTTTTTCAGACATATAGAAATATAGCTTGGCCTAATGATTTTATTATCATGGGAAGTAATTAGTATATATCGATAATTTTGGGATGAAATTGAAATGCTTAAAAGTTTGGGGACTAGTTTGAAACTATAGTCATAGTATGTGGATGATATTAAAATGTTTAAAAGTTTAAGGATTAGTTCAAAATAAAAGTAATAGTTTGAAGATGAAATCGAAACATTTAAAAATCTAAAGGTTAATATAAAATAAAAATTATAATTTAATAAAGTATGATACAATTAACTATAGATTAGAACAATGCGAACGTTGATAGCAATATGTGTGGTGGTCTATGATTCATGAAGAATTGTACAATGATATGAAAAGGCTTGTCTAACTAGTACACTTGATTTTTTTTCTTAAAAAACAAATAAGTAAAATAATTTATATCTGAAATATTTATTGTGTATAAAAATATAAAAATAGAAAATTATATGTAATTTTATATTATTTTTTTAAAAAAAAATCACAAATTAAATTAAACCGTTACAAATTTAAAAATAATTTAATGTTGACCCTCATACTATTTTTTCTCTCAATATTGTCTTTCAACTAAATGAAAGAATTTAATGTTGTTCTTTAACCAAGATTTTCTATCATTGACCAACATTAGTGTAAATCCTTTGTCATTAGGATGCTCGAAGTCAACCATAATTTTATGCAAAATCATCTCCGTAATTCTTTTCTTTCATTTCAACAACTGCCCATGTAACCGAAAATTGATTATTTCCGTCTCTATCAATAACCACAAGTAGTATTCCCTTCTTAGATTTGAGAAATCATCCACGTCTGCAAGAATTAACAGAGCCATTGGTCAATGACGGAAAATGTTGGTAAATGAGTCATATTAGATTTTTCTGTGTTAAATAACCATATTAAGAGAAAAAATAGTATAAATGCCACATAATTTTTTGAAAGTACAAGGGCTTCACGTACTCTTTTACCTTTAATAAATGATAAATTTACTTCTAGATAGGTTGATTTAAATCCATCCATGCATAAGTGTGAATTAGGGGTGTTCAAAAATAGTCGTCCCGATTGACCTGACTACTCAGATTAAAAAAATCGAATAATTTTTTAAAAAATATTAAAGTTCTGGGTCGGATACCGGTCTGACATTTCCCGGGTAGGATCAGGGTCGTAAAACTAGATTTTTCAGGGTCGGATACCGGTATTGATATTTATTTCTTTTCATTGTCTAGTCTCAGTTTCTAATGTTCATTTCTTATAAAGCACTTCAACGCACTTAAGGCCTCATGCATAAACAACTTTGGTTCCGAATGAAGCAAAGGTCGTTCAAAAATTGCATGCGGAAATAATTAAGTCCTCGTTCATGTGTTATTAACTAAAGTAGTTTTTTAGGATAAAATTACGTATATCATATTATTTGAAAAAAAAATAAAAATGTATTATTTCGACAATAAAAATAAAGATAATCACATTATCTGTAAATTTTCTGTGTGAAATTTTAATTCAAAATATATTATTTGAAAAAATAAAAAATGTATTATTTTGACTATATAATTCGAACATTTAAATATATATATATATATATTTAAATTAATAATTTCAAAATTGAAAAAAATCCTGACTACCCGATTACTCGAATTACGGGTACCCGCAACATCCGAGTCGAGACACGGGCTGAAAAATTAAATGCCCGAAGACCCGGGTACCTGAATTTGAAGACCCGGGCCGGAAAATATTAGAACAAATTTTGCGTTAAAAATCATTTGATAAATTAGTGATAAAATTTAAAAAATCACAAAAATACTTAAAATGTCATTGTCTTTATAAAAATAAAAAAATAATAAAAATATTCTTAATTTACTTATAAATTATTTTATTTGTTTTTACCTTTTTCATTGTTGTACTCACACACAACACAAAATCCATTTACCCTTAATTTAGGGGATACTTGTTAACTATTTTTTTGTATCTTATATATATACCTATTTTTTAGGGCTTTTTCATTATCTCATCACCATGATGTACCCACTATTATACTTAACATCAATACATCAGTTGTGTGAATGGAACAAACTGGGTTGGTAGAGATGCCCTCGCCTCTGTAGTACCCAATATGTATTAGTCAGTCAATAGATCGGATACCAGTGATTAATTCAAAATAAAAAATTAACTGAAAAAAGTGACTGTTTATTAGTTCTAAATTATTTTAATTATTGCAATAAATTATATATTTCTATTAGTTGTAAATAATGATCGTTAAAAAATGATCCTTAAACTTATCGTTGTTTTATAACGAATAATGATTATTTTGGAACGATTCAATAAGTTTAATTTTTATTTTATAACTTTTGAAGCTTCAATGACTAAAATATAATTTTAGTATAGTTCAGTGACTACTCGTATACTTTAACCTTTATTTTTTACGTGACGTTAATTAAATTAAAATAAATTTCTCTAGTAGGTATTGAAAAAAAAAAGCCTACTTAGGGATGGCAATGGGTCGGGTCGGGTCGGGTTTTTGGGCCACCCGACCCGACCCGAGAAGAAAGGATTTTTCACCCGTGACCCGACCCGACCCGATGAAATTAAAGTTTCACCCGACCCGACCCGACCCAAATATATGACTTAGAAACCCGACCCGACCCGACCCGAAATAATAATAAAAAAAATTTTATTTAATGAAAACAGTGACTTAATTGAAAAAAATTATATATGGAGGGACATTATTGTAATTATCTCTAAATATATAGGATAAAATTATATATATTTTTCGGGTCGGGTCGGGTCGGATTTTTTTCACCCTAAACCCGACCCGACCCGAACCCGAACCCGAAATTTTTTAAAAAAAATCCGACCCGATCGGGTCAGATCGGGTCAGAACCCGTCGGATTCGGGTTGAATTACCATCCCTAAGCCTACTCCAAAAGACTCTACTGTTATTTGTCAAATTAGAATTAGTATTCACACTAATATCCTATCAGATTAAGGTTGGGTTTGAAAATAAGCCAATGTAAAACCTATTCTTCAAACTTCCAATTTGATTCAAAAATAAAATTGTTTATTGTTGAAGTTCGTTTGAAAGTTAGATTTTTCTAATGGATTTATTGATAGATCAAATGTTTGACAATTGATTTAAATATGGGTAAATTACACCGTTTCTCACTGAGCTTTACTCTATCTCTTTTTTTACTCACTGTATTTTAGATTTTTTTAATTTGTTGACTGAACTTTATAGATTGAATCATTTTGCTAACTCTGTTGTTAACTTTTTAACAGTATTATGACATGAAGCAAGCATCAAAACGACGTCGTTTGAATCCTCACTGTAAAAATAAATAATGTCTTGTACTCATCTCGGATTAATAAAAAAATAAATTAGGGATGAAATTGAATTATTTAAATAATCTAACTTAATATAGGTATGAGGTGGAGAATGAGAGGGGATTGGAGAACGTGGGTGGGGTAGAGCAAGCTTTAATGGGGGAAAAAGGTTGGTCTTGGACTTATCTCCTCAATTTAATAATTTATCCAAAGTCCAGACACAGAACACGACAAACGGCTACTTTTTGAGTGTCGTAACCCCTAAACTAACCTCTCCTGTCACGTGTCTTCTTGTCACGAATACTTTTCTTTGTGGTCCCCGCAATGGCCCAACCAAGGCGGCAGATGCCGGATGCCATTGTTCACTCAATTTCACTACATTGTTTTCTCATCGGTCGGATTAAACTAATTTATCCACCATAAAAATAAGGTTTAATATGACTAAAATATACCCTGAATTATTTTTTTATGTTTAAAGGTTTTTTCGTTAAAAATATATATATAACGTTTTTTTTATATACTTTTACATGCATATCGTTATATTTATTATTTTTTAAATGAAAATATTTTTTTAAAAAAATCAATCCCCATGTACTCTCTCCCTCTTATCTACCACCTCCTACGACAAAGGGTCATCACCGGCTGAGTTTTTTCGAAGCAGGGCGAAGAACTCAATGGTGGTAGTTGTGAAACGCACTGACAACTAGAGTCGTTTGAAACATCAAAAAAGAATAAAGGGAAACCTAAAAATTCGACGAATTTTCGCAATACTTTCCACAACGATCGACTTAGTTTCACGATAGATAGGAGATTAGACTTTCATCTCGACGACGATGTGGTTTTGATGGTATCAACGGTGATGACCATAGACCAACAGTGATCGATCGATGGTGGAAGCATTAAATTTTAGATTTTTTTTAAAAAAATATATTGTGTTTTGTTAAATATATAAAAAAAATAAAATTTTATATGTGTACGTGTCATATAATATTCAAATTTAAAGATGATTATAGTTTAATCACATCAAAGTCTAATGTTGAAAATGTGATACATCTATTTTTAACAAAAAAAAATTAAACACTAAAAATTAATTTAAAATATAGTTTAAACACTTATTTTTTTGTATTAAGTCTAAGAAAAATAGATTATTTTTATGATTATCTAGTTTTAATTTAACCTTTTTAATATTTTATTTATAGATTTAAGAGATTATAACTAAATTAAATAGAAGTTTTAATTTGTTTACATTTAATTATTTTTCCGTTTCAAAATTTCTATCAATCTATCGTTTGATTAATGCTGAATAATAAATTTAATAAATTTTATCGATTGACGTTGCATATCACATCACATTATTGTTAAGTAATATTTTTATAAATTTATTATTTTTAATATATTTAAAACCATTTTTTTTACAAATTATATGTACTTCATGTGAAAAAATATTGCGTATACGTGTCAGTAATATCTGAAAAAGATTATCAAGATTCAACAGGTAGAAGTAGTCAAAGAACTTATTTTATTAATTTTTTTATTCAAAATTAATTGACTAAGGGACTATTTGTTTGTCTTTTTAATAAAATCATTCAGCGTTGAATGTTGAACGGTTCAACATTCAGCGCGTTTGTGAATGATTCAGTACTGACTGATTCAATAAAAAAGTGTTGAATGATTCAACACATAAGTACATTCTGAATGATTCAGAGTTATTATCAAACAACATGTCATATTCAGAGCTAATTCATACATAAACTTTGAATCATTCAGTATTTGAATCATTCAGCGCTTAATCATTCTAAAATAAACAAACATCCCCTGACTATGTATAAAAATAATAAAAACAAGAGATTTAATTATTTTTTTAAGTTTGAAAAGTTTATACACTCTTAAACCTAATTTTTATTGGATATATATATATATATATATATATATATATATATATAGGCTCTAACTTTGAGGGTTTTTTTTATGTTGATATCTTGTAATTCTATCTTGATTACATCCAATTTCCCAGTTCAACAAAGAGTCCCTTTATATATAATAATCATATTATAACGGGTATAGTTTAGTGGTAAAAGTGTGATTCGTATCCAATGACCAATTAAATTATATTGAAAATTATATTCTATAGAATTTTAGAATTCTATCTTAAATATAAAAAAAATGAAAAATTAGATTATGAAATTAAGAAACATAATATATATATATATATATATTTAATCGATAAAACATGTTTAATGTGTCCGAGGAATGATTGGGTGATAACGTTGCAGACAAATTTGTAATGTAATAAAGTCAGTAGAGTAGGTGCATCGTAGAATTATATATACATGCAAACATATATAAATGCTATTTATATATGGTTTCTCCGTTTTAATTTAATTTATTCTTTCAGTGTTTTAACCTTGACAGCACACTATACTCTTATAATAAAAAGCTTATATAAGTGGTAACCATGGTGGGTAGTTAAGCATAAATCTTTTCATTTCTTTAATTTAAGACTATAATATGCCCCGATATTATAGTTAAAACAAATGGTGCAGTGTTGATGTCTGAAACCACTAAGAAAAAATGATTTATTTAATTAAATTGATGGGATTTTGGTGATGGATCGAGGCTTCAACTGCGCCTACGTTGCTTTCACATTTGTATATACAAACAAATGTCATAATCTTAAAGGTATTTAATAATTTATTTTTCTAATTATTATTTTTATTTATAATGAAATTTATCTCGCCTTTTACAAAAAATTAATAAATTACTCTGATTAATTATTGATAAAATATTTAAATAAACCACTCACTCGTTCTATATAACCAAACCAAGACCAACAGCAGGCACCACCTAAAAACATCTTTAGCTCTAATTTCTCTCTTTGTCTCTCGTTTTCTCTTTCTCAGCCGAAGATGGTGGCACTAGAAACGAGGCTCGGAGCAGCCATGAACGCGGAAGTTGTCGGGAGCGGCGGCGAGACCATGGTGCTGGCGCACGGGTTCGGGGCGGACCAATCGGTGTGGGACAAAGTCCTGCCTTTCCTGACGCAGCATTACCGGGTTGTGGTGTTCGACTGGTCTTTTTCCGGCGCCGTAAAAGACCCGAACCTCTTCGATCCTTCGAAATACGCTTCCTACGATGCCTTTGCCGATGACTTGATCGCCCTGATGGACGAGCTCCACTTGGAACACTCGGTGTTTGTCGGTCACTCCATGTCGGGTATGATCGGTTGCATTGCTTCCATCAAAAGGCCTCAGCTTTTCACCAGGCTCGTTCTTGTTGCTGCTTCTCCTAGGTATTTTCATTTTCCTTTTTCTTTTTTTTCTTTTTTTTTAAATTATATATGGGGCATAAAAATATTAAAAAAGGGTTTTTATTGCTTTTCTTTCTTGTTTCAACTTTCAATATTATTACATGAAATAACAAAATATTTTTTCTTATACCAGTTTGAATCACGGTTTCTACAAATTTTCCCTTATCCTATATACGAAGAGAGTTAAAAGATATATTTATGCCAAGTAAATTTTTAAAATCTACGTATTTTTATATCATTGAATGAACCTAACAGCAAAATGTGTGTATAGGAAGATCTGGGTCCAGGATGCACCGAGGGGTGCTCGAGTACGGTCCTACTCTTTAAAATTTTTAAAATTCTTTATATTTTTTGAATTTTATATAAATTATTTAATTTTACATTATTCGAGTCTCGCAACTCCAAAAATTTTAATATAATTTTTTGTGTTTATCCCTGTTTGAATAGACTATGATGGACTGTTTTCTGTCTCTTGTACTTTGCATTGTGCTTCTAAATTGTGTGGATGAAAATATATATTATATTATCTATTTAATTCCTCAATAATTGATATTAAGATAGATATTTAACTCAAATTTAATAATTTTGATTTGATTCGATAAAATTATTTTTTTAAAGATGATTTTAGATCAACTCATATTAATTTTTTTAAGGATAAATGAATCAGATTCGGGTTTATGATGAAAATATATGACTTGAGATTAATAATATAATTAACATTTATATATTCAAGGATAATTGTTATAATATCGTCTTTTTATATTTTTTCAGTTAAATCTTTATTTTACCGAATAAAATAATAAATATATATATGTTTGTATGAAGTAACATGTGGATTTTTATCTAAACATCGGATTGAATTTAAAATAAATAAATTTTCTCTAAACTCAAATCGAATTTGGATGGACCAAAACCGGATTCAACCCATGAACCTCCCTAATTAATACTGTTCACACAATTACATATTAAAACATATCTTTCCTTTTGCTTTGACAATTTTATATAATCAGCCAAAAAAACTTTATAATTCTATTTTGGTAATATTATAATTCTACTTTTATTATAAAATTTAATTTTTAGAAGAAAAAAAATATTAAATATGTTGGTGTCGGCCAAAAATATGAAATTTGATTATTTAGTTAATAATTTACATATATCCATAATAAGTTAATAATTTATTAAATAAACTATTTTCTTTTTAATTATTTAGTTTTGATATTAAATTAATACCATATCCATAATTTCATTGGTCAATATTTCTTTTTATTTTCTTTTCTGAAATGATTTGAGTATATTTACTTATCGATGTGAATTTTGCAGGTACATTAACATGGATGATTATGAAGGTGGATTTGATGAAGCGGCGATCGACGGCATCTTATCGAGCATCGAATCCGATTACGAAAACTGGACATCGACTTTTCCGACACTCACCGTCGACAATTCGGACCCGGCATCGGTCGAAAAATTGAGAAAATGTTTGAAGAGGATGAGGCACGAGATCGCCGTCCCTTTGGCCAAGATGGTGTTTCGTAGCGACGAAAGGGATATCCTCGACGAGGTCACTACGCCATGCACCATCGTTCAGACCACGAGCGACGTTGTCGTGCCCGGTTCGGTCGCTGACTACATGCAGAGGAAGATCAAAGGGAAATCGACGGTGGAGATTGTCAATACCAATGGCCATTTCCCTCAGTTGACTGCACATCTCGAGTTCCTTGCTGTGCTTGCTGGAGTTTTAGGCTTTGAAATTTGATTAAGAAAAAATAGTATAAGATTAGAAATGAACTCCATGGTCATTGGGATATATATATTATGGCTTAACATGTGTGTCAGTGTGTGGGGTTGGCCTTTTGTAGAGTTTTCGTTGGTAATATTAGTTTGGCTTTTATTATAAGTATTTTAATTTTTACTATTTCTTTTAATACTTACGAAAAAATTGATGTTTTATATATTGATTTCGTATAATTTTATACGCTATATCGACAAATAAGATTATAACATTTCATCAAAATTAGGTTTAGGAGTGTATAAGAATATGAGAATTTATTGTTAAAAGGTTAGAAGTCTTTGAACATATACTATATTATATTCGTCTTATATTTTTCAAAAAAATGTTTTTTTCGAAATTATTTTTAAAATGATTCGAATGTATTGAATTTTAAAGAGCTTTTGTGTTGGAATTACCATCGATCATCATGGGTAAGATCTGATCGAATATTGACAATATTTTTATAAGTTTGGGTGATTACAAGGTGGTGAATGTAAGATAATACAAGTTCGAAAGACTCTCAATTATTTGACAATGAATGTTTATATAACCTATAGATGTCGTGCTCAAACTCGAGACATCGAGAGATGATAACAATCGTTTAACCCGAAGCCACTTCATTCGTGCTATTAAATCTCTTTTAAATGATAAAATCAATTTCGGGTTGACCCAATACCGACCCAACCCAAATCCGAACACGTCCATTTTTTTTAGAAAGCAAGAGCAACTAGCTGTTCAGAGTTGGGGCTTTAGCGCTATTGAAGGATCAAATCAAAACGGCGCTCAAAAGTATTTATTCTAATATTTTTGCTGTCATTTTATTACTCTTCCCTCCTGTCTAAGACCGCGTTTTCGCACTCGATTCGCCTGCGATTCTACCGGTTCTCCGCTCTCTTCGCAGCCGATCAACCGGAACCTTTGCGGCCGGACTACCTGTCAAAGCATGTCTTGCTCTTCCGAAACTCCTCCTCCAACTCTCCGAACCGTCGCCATATCTTATTACGAACTCAAGGTGAGTTCTCTAATCAGCTTTGCCTTCGCACAGTTGACTCGTTTTGTACTGGATTTCAAACGGATTTGACCGTGATCATGTGCTTTGAGATTCTGAGTTCCCTTGCATCTTCCTGCGGTTTCTTGGCAACCTAACAGAGTTAATGACGTGTTATTATTAAATTATTGGATTTTGCGTATATCTGCATGCGTCGGATTTTAGCACGGTTTTTGTTTTTTAAGTCTCGTTTATGGAAATGTACTGAAACAGGACAGGGATGCTGATCTGTCGTTGAAAATTGAAGAAGGATTTGGACCGAATGGACTTGGAATTCTATCAATTACTGATGTATGTACTTCTTTTTGTATCTTTTGAGGAAATTTGTTTGTTCATGAGTTGATTTTCATTTGCTGTTATTTCTTCTATATGATTTTATTTTTCGTTGTTTTAAATTTTGTGATCATTAGTAATTTATTTACAGGTTCCAGATTTTCCTTCATTACGTCGAAATCTTCTATGCCTTTCAGATAGGTACCGTATTGGTTTCAAAACAAAATTATTTTATAACCCATCACGGAAGAGAATTAAAAAATATTCTATAAATTTCCTTCTTAGCAGATTAGCTGCCTTGCCTGAAGATGTGAAGAAGGAACTTGAGGATCCTCAGAGTAGGTAATTATTTTGCTTTTTTTTTTCAAAAAAATATTTTTTCCTGATAAGCGATATGTTCTTCTTGTAATTGTTAAAAGAAAGAGAGCTTATGCAATTTAGGAAAGAATCAAGCAAGGGTATCATATTGTTATCTCTGATTTATATTATCCTGATGATATCGCAATCTTAACGTGTCTAATTATATTTATTGCTCTTACAGTCTCAGTAATAGTCCTCCGGGAAATTTATTGATTAAAAATGCATGACCATTTATTCTTTAAATAGAGTGTGGCTAAGGCATCATGTTGGAGACTGTTTCCTTTATGCCCTGTTCTTCGTAACCGTCTCTTGCCTGTAGGTACAATTTTGGATGGAGTCATGGGAAAGAGCAGCTTGAATCTGGGAAACCCGGTAAATGCTTACACAATTTGAATTTCACAAGTCAACATGTTTACACGAGTCAGTAGCATGTATTTTTGTTGATTTTCTTTGTATTTGTATGTAATCATAGAACATAAAGAACCCAATAGCTGATATAAAGCAAGCTCCACCAACATTCTAGTTTTAACTCAACGCTAAAACATTAAACTGCTTATAACTTATAAGTTAACCTTGTGCATTTGCCGTCTTTGTTACCAATATGTTCAATTCTAAGTTACATTTAGAGGAGAAAGGCTTTTTCAATTAGTTTATTGTCGGATATGGAACCAAATTAAGAGACTTAAGGTTCTGTACTTGTTGCATGATTTTAGATCTAGGTGCTTTTTCTCTATGTGAAGTAGTGTGAACTCTCTTGAAAATGTCTACTTCTTCCTTTTTATTTATTTTTTTGGATATATCTATTTAGTTTATACACAAAATGTGTTTCTTTTTTCATCTTGCGTCCTTTAAATTTTGTTTGCGCTACAATGAGTCCAACTTATTTCTCTTTAATGCTGTGAAGATCTTCTGAAAGGTTCATTCTATGCAAATCCTCTACTTGATGTGCCAACCAATGATGCATCCTTGATTCAGAGGTAAATGTGAAAGAAAGGCATTGATGAGTACCATATTTGCACTTTCCTTCTGTAGCATTATATTGGATTGTTTCAGAGAGCAGTCCTCCCTTCACCCACCCACATGTGTAGGCTCTTATATTTTCCTCAAGAAAGGAACATTGACGAGTACCATGTTTGCATTTTTCTCATTGATGAGACCAGCCCCATATTTATATTGTCTGTAGGCTCTTAATTCTTATACCATATAGCATGTGCACTACGTGGCTATGCCGTATGTGATTGTGCTAAAATGTTTAATCGATCACCCATGCTCTGCCTTGTAGGTATGCATCATACTGTGGAGCCAATATTTGGCCTCAGGTTGCTTTGCCAGAACTTGAAGTGGGTATGTCCACTTTTCTGCTTAGAAAAAAATGGAATTTAAGTATGTTTTGATCTTTTCGTAAGTTATGATTCTTATGAATTGCTCTGAAGAAATAATATAAAAAAATTGTTTATTTTGTCATCAAGCTGCATCTTATATATCATCTGACATTGGATTCTGTAAACATTAATTATTGGACTCTGCGCTGTAGCTTTCAAAGCTCTGGGAAAGCTGATATTTGATGTGGGGTTGCTGGTGGCATATCACTGTGATCGCTATGGTAAATTTCCCTTGAATTCCAGTTTTTAGATACAGACAATATGAAACTGGATAGTTGCATTTCTAGACTTGAATTATACATACCAGCTTCACTGACTGATCAGTCTATAGTTGAGATTAGACCTTTCAAAATCAAAGTGTGACCACATTCCAACTTTTTGAAATTCATATAGTTAGATCTGGCCCTAGATCACGATGTATTTGCTGGATCGAGCATATTCCTTTTGAATAAACTGGCAACCATATGTAGTTTCTTGGTTCTATAACCTGTTAAATTTATCTGAAAATAGAGGACAAGGTCTTTTTGTTTGCCATAATGAGTCACTCTTTAACTTTATCATTACATGATCAGTATCCAAGGGGATGAAGATGCAAAAGGATGAAGGTCTTGAACAAATACTTCTTCGTTCTCGTTGTCATAAAGGGCGTTTGCTGTATTACTTCCCTGCGCAACTGAGGTCCCACCAGTAGCTTTCTGTTTATATATTATTCCACATTTGAACAATTAACCTTCTCTCTCTAGCTTCTAGAATGTATGAAGTAATATATGATGTTACTTGCAGTAATCATGAAGAAAATGTTGAATACATGTCATCTTGGTGTGGATGGCATACTGACCATGGCTCATTGACAGGTGATTTGTCTAATCTTTTCATAGTCTTGGGAAGAGATTGATATCATAGTTGTCAGTTCTCTGTCTATCCTGATCTCTTCTTCAATTTAATTTGTAGGTCTGACATATGGCATGTTTAAGAGAAATGGTGTAGAAATATCTTGTCCTGATAGTGCAGCTGGCCTTTATATAAGAACACGAAGTGGTGAAATCGTCAAAGTATGCATTCTTAGTCACAGTACTCTACTTATCATATTGTATTGCATGATCATGCAAATTTATGCTGGCAAGAATGAGCTTATTTAGAACTTAAAGTGCTACCATACACTATTTGAATTTTTTATGTCAATTCTTTTTAACATGACCTTGTCATGAGTATAAATTATTGGTACCTAGAGTACCATAAGATTAAACACCGCATCAATTGCCAAAATGGTGAACTTTGAATTATATTTCAAATGAACGAAGTTCGTTCGTAGATGAAATATAAAATGGCTTCATAAAATGTAAGTATGCTAGAAACTGGTGTTTTGTGCATTTTAACTTTACTATACTGTGAATCTCAACTTTTCCATACAATTTGAGAAATGCTTGCAGAGGCAATAGTTTGGTTCAATCATAATTTCAAGCGATAGCGAAAATGTTGACCTTCTATTACCTACGGTTGCCACATATATTTATTCTGTTAACTTGAGCTTTTACGCACTAGGCTATTTTTGGGGAAGATGAAATAGCGTACCAAATTGGCGAGACCACGGAAATACTTTCTCAAGGTTATCTCTGTGCAACACCCCATTGTGTTCGGGTATTTTCTCTTCTCTCTCTTGGGGAAAAAGGTATTTTTTCAGTTTCTATAATCCATTTAACATGTCCTCTATAATATCCTCTATTCATTGATTCTGTTAGGCAGCAAAAGGAAAGGCGGCCTCTGGCATTGATCGATCAACATTTGCTTTATTTATGCAACCTGATTGGTATGTATCTATAATGTGTAATACCGTCTTTATTGACTTGATTTATGTGGGATTAATTCAACGGTTGAATGATGAACTATGATGGTGTGCTTCTACATTTTCTGCTCACAATTGGTTTTCATGTCATTCTCTGTTTTGAAGAAATTGGTTATTAGCATTTTGCTAGTAAAAACAGTTCCTCTTAGGGATGTCCATTTTTCATAATGCAGGGATGAAAAACTCAATTTTCCAGAGGACGTTCATATTCATAAAGAGGTATGTTCTCTATAACTCTAAACATTGTTGAAAGTGAAATTCAATTGCACCGGCTATTGGATTTAGAAGGAACTTAGTTCTAGTCGAAGTTAGTTTAACTTTGAAAATTATTTGCTTGATATATGGTTATGATCTTAAATAGAATATTGAACTTCTATGATTTTATGAGTCACCTAAAATGAGAGTGTTGAGATACCGGGAAGAAAAAAAAAACAGAGAGCGAACTCCGTTGTCAACTTGAGCTTGCATAACCTGAGCTATTGAGCAAGCTGACAGTTTGATTTTTATCTTGAATCGAACTCGGAAATCTTACAACTTGAGTTCGATTTGATTTTGATCGCATAATTTGAACCAAAACCGGAAAATGCAAGTATTATTATTAATGTGTAGGTGGTGTCACTCTCGCACACTAGCTGATGATCTGAAGTTTTGTTGTTCAATGGTTTCAGCTGATACCACCAAATGGAAGTCTTACTTTTGGAGAGTATTCTGAGATGCTCCTTGACAAATATTACCACAAGAAACCATGAAGTTTATCCCATAATGCCTATAGGTACACCACAAATACAATAATGAATAATATTTGCTTTTGTAAGCTTCGTGTTCTTTTCATAAGAACAGAACAAACATATAGCTCCTTGGGTGCAATTTGACGTACATATTCATAAATTGGTCTACCAATCTTTTATGATCATGAAAACCAGGTGGATAGACAGTGGCAAATGGCTGCGATTATTGCACGGCCCACGCCTTGGGAAGATAAGGTGGGTTCCAAATCGGACATAATGTTTTCTCGTACATAATCTGCCTACGATTTCCGATCAAATTGGAGTCTACTGTCTTTTTTATTAGGATGTCTGGAGTGGATATAGGGATGGGCATAGCTCGAGTCAGGTTTTGGCTGATCCAATCTGACCTGAGCGTTCTACCCCTTGATCAGTCGCTTGACCCGACCTGATTTTAAGGAGACTCCACTATACTCGAAACTTGTCCTCCGCACCTGACTTGATACTTATTAGGTAAAATATAGATCTAATTAAAAAATTAGGGTAAACTACACGTTTAGTACCTTAACTATCAATTTTGTTTCGTTTTAGTACCTAAACTTTCATTTGTTTCAAAATTACACCTAACAAACCTTTTGTTTTGTTTTGGTGCATTGCCATTAAAAACTTAGTTGGATTGTTACAACATGACACTTTTTATGGGTAAATTGCATCATTAATCACTCAACTATCATCTCACTCTTATTTTGATCACTGAAGTTAATTTTTTTAATTTAATTACTTAGAATGATTAAAACATGAACTATTTTTGAAAGTTGAATAGTAAAATTGAACATTTTAAACATTAATGACCAAAATAGGTGTGAGAAGATAATTAAGTGACGGATAAAGTAATTTACCCATAAAAGAATGCCATGTGCAACAGTTTCATTAAGTTTTTAACGGTGGGGTTTTAAAATAACTGTTAAGTTTTTAACCGTGGAGTTCTAAAATGAATCAAAAAGTAAACGTTGAGTATGATTTTGAAACAATTGAAAGTTTAGGTATCGAAACAAAATAAAATTGATAGTTTAGATACTAAACATGCAATTTACCCTACTTTTAATTAGATATATATTTTACTTAATGATAAAGAAAATGCAAATTTGTTTGATGAATTAAGAATCCTGAATCAATATAAACTTGAAATTTACATAGTTAAAACACAACTCAAGAGTCGGTTGGTTAGAATTTATAAATTCAATAACAAGAGGTATAACACCAAAATGTCGTGCAGAAATTTCTCTTGTTTTTTTTTACAATATCTCATTCGCATCCTCAAATGGGGTATTATTCTATTCTCTCTACCGAATCAAGCCATTTACCCTTTCGGCGGTCGAAAGTAAAGAAGAAACGACAACGTTTGCAGAACAAAGAGAAAAAATGTCCACGTCACGGGCAGGCAAGAATTCAAGGCGGTGGGGAATTTAGCGCATCTGGTTCCTCCCCTACCCGACTTTTCCTCTTCGGTTTGGGGCCCTTTTTGTAGGATAGTTCACTAAATAAAATTTAAGTATTAAAACAGATCAAAACTGATCATTTAAGTATTAAATATATTAAGTTTTTAACGAAAGTTATTTAAATGAAACAAAAATTAAACTTTAGATATGATTTTAAAAAAAATTGAATGTTTAAGTACTAAAATATATTAAAATTAATAATTTAGATATTAAATACGCAATTTATCCTTTATTTTAATACATAATTTTAATTCTCATTACCTATAATTTTTTTATACAACTATGGATATTTATTGTATTGATCAAATTAAATATTACATAAATTAATTATAAAGATTAATTTATAATTCTTCATATTTTCACGTCAGTTCTTTTCAACTTTCTATATAATTATGCGAATCACTAGTAACCTCCGTTAAATAACCTCTCTCTATACTATTTATTTTTTAACACATCGGAAAGCCTAATTGGGCCACATCATAATTTTTAATGAAAAATGCTGAAGGACTAACGTGAAAGTTGAGGCGTCAAACTGTCTGAAGAAAAATAATAAGAGGAACAAAGTAAAAGATTCGCTATAGTACAGTGGCCATTTTAGGTATAAGGCCAGATAATATTGTGTATTTAATTTCTAAAGAAAATTATATATTCTGGTCAGCTTAAAAGCATACTGGCTTCGTGGTCTAAGGCAAGAGAATCATTTGTTGACCAACAGACAAAATTCCCATCGCGCACACAGTTGGCTCTCTTCACCATGTCCACGACAACCCCATGCTTTGTTTCAAGCTCCAAATCCAATCCTCAAAAACCCAGTTTCAGAAGCGTTGTTTGTTGATGGCGAAACACAGAAAACTCGGTTTTATATCTTGGGACGTTGTATCTCCATGCTTTGTGTTGGCATGAATGAATGATCATTCCTTTTTCCGACCGGCAACCGTTGGCGGGAACAAGTAGGTTACGACGGCTATAAGTGGTTCATTGCTTTTTGTTTGGTCGGAAAGTCGTAATCGATGGTTAAATAGTCTTTGATAGATGCTCTCCTTGATCTTTAGTCTAGAGGTTTTGTAGTACTCGTTAGTGTTGTTATCATGTGTAGAGTCATTATAGTTAACCGACAATAGATTTAGCTCTAGCGAGTCGCATGCGTATGTTAGGGCCAGTCAAGAGAACACAGTTTATCAAGAGATGTAGGTATTTGAGATCTTATTGTGCATAAGTGATCGGAGATTCGGAGTGTTCCCGAGTCCTCCGAAAGTCTCAAGGTGCAAGATAAGTCCCGTAAAGGAGCTCTGGAAGGGATACAACAAGATTCTTACTGTTTGATTCGTAGACATAGTCGATATATCCGTCGGAACACGGAAGATTAATCGAGGTTTTCAAGTTTCTGAGATGGGGCGAGGAATTCGAGGACGAAAAAGAACATGATCATTGAACGAGGACTAACCGTGGGGTTTGGTAGAAACCGGAGGAGCAAAGCTGTAAATATCTATTTTTCCTGCTTTTTCAAGTTTTGATGAATGAAACAGTAAATGGTAAACATATAGTTGATGGGTCTATACCAAATAAGAGCTTATAGCTGTATTCGCATTTGTTCATTTTAAGTGTTTTTCGGACGCGAACAGGGTGCACTTATGGTGGAGGCGCACTCCGATATGGCTTTAGCGGAATTAGGAGACCTCGCCGGGACGAACCAGGCATGGGCGCTGTTAAACTACAGGTTCCCGGACGAAGAGCCGTATAAAGTCCTTGACATGGCGTTAGTGATAGCTCAGGCGACCCTTTTTGTTTGTGGTGGCTTTAGCCTCGGTCTTAGACTCTGTCATTGCATATGTGATGGTGTTGGTGCTATGCAGTTTTTTGCTGCATGGGGCTGCTACTGCAAAACGGGTACATTGGTAAAAACCCGGAGCCCTGTTGGGACAGAGAATTTTTCCGGCACCGAAATCCACCGACGATAAAATACCGACATCCCTAGTTCATGAGCATCGAAGAAGGTTCGAGCTTAACAACGAGTTTATGGGAATCCAAACCTGTTCAAAAGTGTTGCAAGGTTAGCAATCAGTTCCAAGCTCAACTAAAATCACTGGCTCAACCGAACGACATGCTCGCTGCTCGACCTTCGACGCGATGGCTCATGTGTGGCAATCATGGGTGAAAACACTCGACGTTAAACCACTACACTATGAGTTATATTTGATTCATTTGTTAATATTGCCATGCATGCAATGCAAATAGATTCATTCAGTTGTATCATTTTGTGTTTTCATTCAAACTCTGTTTATAGTTTCTGATGTTGTAACAAAATCGGTAAATAATGCAGGGTTGGTCTTCTCGAAGTACTTCTGGGACTTCTTGACTGGATACATTGTTTGCAGGGATTGATTGTCATTTAATTTGAATTGATGGATTCCTATTTGATCTTATTTCTACAGGTTTATTTTTTTTGTTAAAAATTTTGGATCGGATTGAATTGGTTTTGAGATAAAAATACATCTAACTCGAAATAATAGTATAGTTAATATATATATGTTTAAGGATAATTGTCGTATATACATATATCAGCATGATTTAATTACACTGTACAACTCTTTTAGTTTTGTATCTTTTTAGAATAATTGGATGAGAGTAATTAAATGTTGAGATTAACAATATAAAATGAGAAGATGTTCATTAGAAAATAATGAGTTAATCTCAGCATTTGATTTTCTTCAATCCAACGATCTTGAAAAGGTGCAATACTAAAAGAGTTTTACACAGTATAAGTGGATCAATATGCGATGTAGGTTTTTACCTTAAAAATTGAGTTAGATTCAAGTTAGGTAGAATTATATGCATATTCGGTACCTAGTTTATTATATATACATATATATTTTATTATTATTTTATAATGATTTTTTTTTTATAATTCTCAAATTATTTCACTCTAACTTTATAATCCTTAATTTCTTAAATTTTGCCATCATAACATTCTAAATTCTTAAATTTTCTTAAATTATTTCCCATTAACAATTTAAATTATTTTTTAAAATATTTATTTTAACTTCAAAACATTTGAAATTTAATTATAATTTTTGTTTTAATTTTTAATAATTTTCAATTATGTGCGAATGATATATTATATACCTTTAAATTTTAAATTTTAGAATTTATATATATATATATATATATATATTAAAAAATAATATAATTCTAAAAAATAAAAAATTATAAACCGGGTACTCGTGACCCAAAAATACAGGTACCCGAGTTTCTCGGTTACTCAAATGTAATAGGCTGGGACACGGGCCGAAATTTTAATACTAAAAAATTTCGAGTACCCAGTTTTGAACACACTTGGTGGTAGGACATTGAAGGAGTAAAGAAAGTGATTAAACTGTAAAGCGTACAAAAGATAAGGACATAAATGTGAGAAAATATGTCATTTGTCAAGCGAATAAAATATGAATTCAAAAATACTTTCACAATCATCTTCTTCCTCTCCTATACGTACTTTGATATACATGAGTTTGCGACTTATGTCGAGGAGTGCTCGTGGTAAAGTCAGATAATTTTTATTAATTATGAAATTATTGTGATATCATGGAGATATAATTGACATAATATAGTTAATAAATAATATGATATAATTAATGTTTCATATTATTAAGTTAATTGAGAATATGACAATACTTACATCATTAATATAAATGTAATAGTTTATTTATAATTGATTTAAGATTTTTATATTTTTAAACTAAATTTAGTGTTTCCATATTTATTTTTAATGATTGTATACATGAAATCATTAAAAAATAATTAATATTCAAATGATAATATATTATATTATAATTAATGATAATATATATATATATATATATATATTATAATTATGTTCAATTTATAATCATAAAATTGTGACATGTGTTACAATTTGATTTAAGAAATGAATTTATTAAATTAAAAAAAAATAGGATCTAATTAAATTTTAAGAATTAAAGTTAATCTTGGTGATCAAATTGATTAATTCTAAAATCTATAGGATTTAATTTACAAATTAAATACATGACTAGAATAAAATGTTTTAAAAATTAATGCTCAAATTAAGGCATTAGACATATTAAAAACAAAATCAGAATCAAATTGTATTAAATAAAAATCCAAAGAAACAAATCATATACAAATAGTGACTAAGGGTGTCAGCACCGCAAATAGGCAACCTTACAAGGACCTGCGCCCTAATTATACTAATTTTTAACTGTCACTTAAACACCTCTATTAAATGTAACGTCGTGACTATTTTAAACTCTTTTAATAATTCAATGATACATTTATCATAATTTTAAAAATGATAATCATTTCGCGACATGACACATAGTTATGTGATAATTTATGTAGTTACCCTAAAAATATCCAACGAGGAGAATTGGCACTTGGCAGTGGCAACTGAGTAAATAAGAGAAAATAATGCTGATAAAATTGGAAAACTGGAAAACAAATGCGGGGCGGGAGGGACAGGTGGGCAGTATAAAAGGGAGGGGCACCACAGCAAATTGAAGAACACTGCTGGCCCTAAAGTAAATTCCAATCTCTTTGTGTAAATCAAAAAAGAAAAAAAATCCATTGTTTCTCTTACCAGCCTTTGGAAACTCGAAACGAGCTTTCAAAAAAGACGAGAGAACGACGATAAGAGCAATGTGCTAGATCGCGAGCGCTAGAAGTCACTAGAAGAGTTAACGTATCGATCCTATGTAATGCATTAGATTCTTTTGATTTACTTTTCTCGAGAAAATTTTCCTTTAATTTTGTAGGTTGAGGTATGGTTATGACTTATGAATGTTGAGTGTTTGTTGTTGCTGTTGTGATTCTCTCCTATTTTCTGCTTGATCTGCGCTTTCTGGTTGATATGTAGTGTCTGTTTGGTTGCCTGAGAAGAAAGGAAAATATATTTGGTGTTGCATTTTGTTTTATGTTTTGATTGTTTCCATTTAAGGTTTTCGGTGATGCCGGCGGAAATAAGAGATCTAAGTCTAATATTTTCTCTCATTTCTCCGCATGTCGCACAGATTGATTTCTTTTTCTTTTGATTATCTATTTTCACATTGCCATTTCCGATCTATGCGTTGTTGATTGTAAATTGCTGATGAAATGAGGAAACTGAAAAGACAGGGTGGCTGAAAATGAGATGATGCTCCGTGGTACATTGTGACAGGTAGGAAAGCTGATATGTGTTTATGAATTTGTCTGCTAATTTCTCCGTCTTTTTCCGCATTTTTTGGCCTTTTACTATTTAAATCCTTTTACATCTTAGATCTGCTCAGCTGTTTTTTGTTTTGTAGCGTTTCTGCTTCAATTTGCATCGTATTTGCTTCGTCGCTGGTTAGGAGTTTTTTTAAGGTGAGTTCTCTAATCAGCTTTGCCTTCGCACAGTTGACTCGTTTTGTACTGGATTTCAAACGGATTTGACCATGATCATGTGCTTTGAGATTCTGAGTTCCCTTGCATCTTCCTGCGGTTTCTTGGCAACCTAACAGAGTTAATGACGTGTTATTATTAAATTATTGGATTTTGCGTATACGTATCATGCGTCGGATTTTAGCACGGTTTTTGTTTTTTAAGTCTCGTTTATGGAAATGTACTGAAACAGGACAGGGATGCTGATCTGTCGTTGAAAATTGAACAAGGATTTGGACCGAATGGACTTGGAATTCTATCAATTACTGATGTATGTACTTTTTGTATCTTTTGTGGAAATTTGTTTGTTCATGAGTTGATTTTCATTTGCTGTTATTTCTTATATATGATTTTATTTTTCGTTGTTTTAAATTTTGTGATCATTAGTAATTTATTTACAGGTTCCAGATTTTCCTTCATTACGTCGAAATCTTCTATGCCTTTCAGATAGGTACCGTATTGGTTTCAAAACAAAATTATTTTATAACCCATCACGGAAGAGAATTAAAAAATATTCTATAAATTTCCTTCTTAGCAGATTAGCTGCCTTGCCTGAAGATGTGAAGAAGGAACTTGAGGATCCTCAGAGTAGGTAATTATTTTGCTTTTTTTTCTTTCAAGAAAATATTTTTTCCTGATAAGCGATATGTTCTTCTTGTAATTGTTAAAAGAAAGAGAGCTTATGCAATTTAGGAAAGAATGAAGCAAGGGTATCATATTGTTATCTCTGATTTATATTATCCTGATGATATCGCAATCTTAACGTGTCTAATTATATTTATTGCTCTTACAGTCTCAGTAATAGTCCTCCGGGAAATTTATTGATTAAAAATGCATGACCATTTATTCTTAGATAGAGTGTGGCTAAGGCATCATGTAATAGGCTGGGACACGGGCCGAAATTTTAATACTAAAAAATTTCGAGTACCCAGTTTTGAACACTCTTGGTGGTAGGACTTTGAAGGAGTAAAGAAAGTGACTAAACTGTAAAGCATACAAAAGATAAGGACATAAATGTGAGAAAATATGTCATTTGTCAAGCGAATAAAATATGAATTCAAACATACTTTCACAATCATCTTCTTCCTCTCCTATACGTACTTTGATATACATGAGTTTGCGACTTATGTTGAGGAGTGCTCGTGGTAAAGTCAGATAATTTTTATTAATTATGAAATTATTGTGATATCATGGAGATATAATTGACATAATATAGTTAATAAATAATATGATATAATTAATGTTTCATATTATTAAGTTAATTGAGAATATGACAACACTTACATCATTAATATAAATTTAATAGTTTATTTATAATTGATTTAAGATTTTTATATTTTTAAACTAAATTTAGTGTTTTCATATTTATTTTTAATGATTGTATACATGAAATCATTAAAAATAATTTAATATTCAAATGATAATATATATTATTATAATTAATGATATATATATATATATATATATATATATTATAATTAATGTTCAATTTATAATCATAAAATTGTGACATGTGTTACAATTTTATTTAAGAAATGAATTTATTAAATTAAAATAAAAATAGGATCTAATTAAATTTTAAGAATTAAAGTTAATCTTGGTGATCAAATCGATTAATTCTAAAATCTATAGGATTTAATTTACAAATTAAATACATGACTAGAATAAAAGGTTTTAAAATTAATGCTCAAATTAAGGCATTAGACATATTAAAAACAAAATCAGAATCAAATTGTATTAAATAAAAATCCAAGGAAACAAATCATATACAAATAGTGACTAAAGGTGTCAACGCCGCAAATAGATAACTTTACAAGGACCTGCGCTCTAATTATACCAATTTTTTAACTGTCACTTAAACACCTCTATTAGATGTTAACGTCGTATGACCATTTTGAACTCTTTTAAATAATTCAATGATACATTTATCATAATTTTAAAAATGATAATCATTTCGCGACATGACACATAGTTATGTGATAATTTATGTAGTTTACCCTAAAATTTATCCAACGAGGAGAATTGGCACTTGGCAGTGGCAACTGAGTAAATAAGAGAAAATAATGCTGATAAAATTGGAAAACTGGAAAACAAATGCGGGGCGGGAGGGACACGTGGGCAGTATAAAAGGGAGGGGCACCACAGCAAATTGAAGAACACTGCTGGCCCTAAAGTAAATTCCAATTTCTTTGTGTAAATCAAAAAAGAAAAAAAAATCCATTGTTTCTCTTACCAGCCTTTGGAAACTCTAAACGAGCTTTCAAAAAAGGACGAAGAGAACGACGATAAGAGCAATGTGTTAGATCGCGAGCGCTAGAAGTCACTAGAAGAGTTAACGTATCGATCCTATGTAATGCATTAGATTATCTTTTTGATTTACTTTTCTCGAGAAAATTTTCCTTTAATTTTTTGTAGGTTGAGGTATGGTTATGACTTATGAATGTTGAGTGTTTGTTGTTGCTGTTGTGATTCTCTCCTATTTTCTGCTTGATCTGCACTTTCTGGTTGAAATGTAGTGTTCTGTTTGGTTGCCCGGAGAAGAAAGGAAAATATATTTGGTGTTGCATTTTGTTTTATGTTTTGATTGTTTCCATTTAAGGTTTTCGGTGATGCCGGCGGAAATAAGAGATCTAAGTCTAATATTTTCTCTCATTTCTCCGCAACCGAATGTCGCACAGATTGATTTCTTTTTCTTTTGATTATCTATTTTCACATTGCCATTTCCGATCTATGCGTTTTTGATTGTAAATTGCTGATGAAATGAGGAAACCGAAAAGACAGGGTGGCTGAAAATGAGATGATGCTCCGTGGTACATTGTGACAGGTAGGAAAGCTGATATGTGTTTATGAATTTGTCTGCTAATTTCTCCGTCTTTTTTCGCATTTTTTGGCCTTTTACTATTTAAATCCTTTTACATCTTAGATCTGCTCAGCTGTTTTTTGTTTTGTAGCGTTTCTGCTTCAGTTTGCATCGTATTTGCTTCGTCGCTGGTTAGGAGTTTTTGTGGCAATATTTACTGTGACGTGCACTGTTAAATTGCAGTTTTATTTTTATTTTTTAAATTTTTTAGAAAATAGAAGACAATAGTTACTTCGAGTATCTGGTAAATCCTTTATTTCCCCTTTTTTCCTCACCAGATATTCAGAAATGAAGATTTTCTTTGATTTTTTTAATATTATTTTTTCGATTAGTTGGCTGCGTTTTGTAGAAATCTAGATGTTGAATCCTTTTCCATAAAATTTCCTTCCTTTTCACGGAGAGAAAAAAGTGGAACCTGTTTTGAATTTGTTTTTGCAAATGTCCAACTCTCACCGGATGTGATTCATTGCAATTTCAGCGGACAATAGTTCATTTTGATTTATAAAATCATGGTTGCCACTGCTGCTACATCGGCATTCTTTCCCATCACTTCTTCCCCGGACTCCTCTGGCTCCAAAAGCAAGAAGCTTGGAAATGGATCTACTAACTTTGGAGGTATCTCGAAACCATCGGCTTCTTCTGGAAGTTTGCAAGTCAGGGCAAATGCACAAGCCCCTCCGAAGATAATGGTACAGCGGTTGTGATGACTCCAGTGGAAGGTTTCAAGGACGAAGATGCTGTGAGTCCTCCTCCTCCCAGGACATTTATCAATCAGTTACCTGATTGGAGCATGCTTCTTGCTGCCGTCACAACCATTTTCTTGGCTGCCGAGAAGCAGTGGATGATGCTTGAATGGAAGCCTAAGCGGCCGGACATGCTCATTGACCCGTTTGCTATAGGGAGGATTGTTCAGGATGGTCTTGTTTTCCGTCAGAACTTCTCAATTAGGTCTTATGAGATAGGTGCTGATCGTACAGCATCCATAGAGACATTAATGAATCATTTACAGGTTCGCTTTTGGTTATTGGCTAGAGAGTCTGAACAAAGAAATTATGAACTAAAATTTGTATGTTTTGGTTTACATGTGGATATGTTGCATAGGCTTGATTTTAAACTAATACATCTTCCTTTTTGCAGGAAACAGCAATTAATCATTGTAAAACTGCTGGATTGCTTGGAGATGGTTTTGGTGCAACCCCTGGGATGTGCAAGAAGAACCTAATATGGGTGGTTACTCGGTTGCAAGTTGTGGTTGATCGCTATCCTACTTGGTAAGACATGCCTTTTTGCTCCTATAGCTACAAAATAATTCATAATAAGCCACCCATGCTTTATCAACGTGGTTGTTGTTTTATATGTATCATCATAGAATGCTTTTCATCTCGAATTCCATGGATTTGATGTTAATGAACTTTAGACTCGTCTATTCTTCTTGCAGGGGCGATGTTGTTCAAGTGGACACTTGGGTCAGTGCATCAGGAAAGAATGGAATGCGTAGGGATTGGCTTGTCAGCAATTTTAAAACCGGTGAAATTTTAACAAGAGCCACAAGGTAGGGCATTGTTTATGATCTTTCGACACTGGTATGAAAGGATTTCATTCAATCAAATTATGTTATGATCTTTCGACACCGGTATGAAAGGACCAAAGAACTTTTAGTTTATAACACTTGCTTTAAATCAAAACAACTGTTATCATTCTGTGTACTTTTACTGAATTGTGTTTCTGAAGTGACTTATCCTGTTCTCTGTTTCGATTTCGCTTTTTGTGATCTGTAGTGTGTGGGTGATGATGAATAAACTGACTAGAAGGTTATCTAAAATCCCAGAAGAGGTCCGAGGAGAAATAGAACCTCACTTTATGAACTGTGATCCAATCGTGGCTGAGGATAGCCGGAAATTAGTGAAATTCGATGACGGAACAGCCGAATATGTGCGCAAGGGTTTAACTGTAAGCACCCACTGCCCCATCTCTTTCTTCAATATAGTTGTGGCCGTGTAAATTGCTTTACTATTCAATTGTTACACTTGTTTGAAATTTGTTCTTAAATTGCACAGCCCCGATGGAGCGACTTGGATGTGAACCAGCATGTCAACAATGTGAAGTATGTTGGTTGGATCCTTGAGGTATATCTCTTTTCGGTATCCGATGTACCTATATTTTATCATGATTTTCACCGATTGACTCATTTGAATCCTTTACTTTTCAAGTTACATGCAATTTAAGTGGAAGGTAATTATGGTTGCAGAGTACTCCGCTGCCGATCGTGGAGAATCACGAGCTTTGTTCCATGACACTGGAGTATAGGAGGGAGTGTGGAAGGGACAGCGTGCTGCAGTCGATAACGGCAGTCTCGGATGCCGGTGAGGGCGAAATCGAGTGTCTGCACTTGCTCCGACTCGAGGAAGGGTCTGAGATTGTGAGGGGGAGGACCCAGTGGAGGCCGAAGAACGCCGAAACATTCAGTAAAATGGGTCGAATTCCCGCACAAAGTGCATAGAAACAACTATCAAGCGCCGAGTTGAGACACCGCTATGCATCGAACTGTCGATGCATTGTAGAAGGTATCCTCTGTTCTCTGAATCCCATATAATATTATTTTAGCTTCGTGAGCTTACTGTAATTAGCTCCTTTATTTTTATTCTTTCTCCCCTCTTTAGCTAGGCTACTTCAGTTTAATTTGAGAGAGGATACGTATATTTTTGGTATTTCCTTAATTAGATATTTTACCACTTAAGCTGGCTAAAATTGACTTTGGATTTTTCTTATAAATGTGTAATGCAAAATTTCAATTTGAACACTTAGATGCAAACAGCTGAATTTGTGTTAAGTTCAACTAACGTAATCACAAAACTACCAAAAAATAAAAATCAAATTTTAATAAATAGACATATAAAGATGTTTATTTTTACCCTTATGTGTGTATTTACCCATTCCACGTTCTTGTTTTTACGTTGGATACGTGTACGTATATTATGTTATATTTTAATTTAGGGTAAATTATGTGTTTATTACCTAAACTATCATTTTTGATCTGTTTTAGTGCATAAACTTTCAATTTTTTCAAAGTCATACTTAAAGTTTGGTTTTTGCTTCATTTTAGTACACAGTCACTAAAAATTTAATGAGTTTAGTACTTAAATTATCGGTTTTGATCCATTTTAGTACTTAAATATTCAATTTTTTTCCTAAATTTAACGTTAAATTTTTAACATGGTTACTAAAATGAAACATAAATTAAACTTTAGGTATGCTTTTGAAAAACTTGAAAGTTTAGGTACTAAAACAGATTAAAAGTAATCGTTTATGTACTTAATGCATAGTTTACCAATATGCACGAGAAAAGAAGGTCAAACCCACGTCACCCATCCATCTTTATCCTGAACCCATTTAATTATGTTTTTAATAATTAATTTTAACAAGATCCTTGCTGTTTATTTGTATATATTACAATGTTAATCACTATCTTAACTATATAAGAAAACTTTATCAACATACGTGGTGGCACATGATTTTGTTTCATTATACGCATTTTTCTGATAAAATATTGTTAGTAAATTTATAAAGTAACGATTTTATAACATTTCAATAAAAACTTTAAGAAATATGAACTCATAGCAAAGTAGAAAATAAATCTCTACTTTTTCCCCTTATATTTTTTTAATTTTTTAAAGAAATAACTTCCAATTTCTTTTGGGTAAATTACGAGTTTAATATCTAGACTATCAATTTTTGTTCCGTTTTAGTATAAATTTTTAATTTTTTTTCAAAATCATACTTAAAGTTTAGTTTTTATTTTATTTTAGTACCGTTGTTAATAACTTTAGATTTTTATTTCATTTTAGCGCTTCGTTCAAAATTTAACGTTAAGTTTTGAAAAAAAAATTAAAAGTTTAGGTACTAAAACGGATTAAAACTAATAGTTTAAGTACTAAACACGTTAAATTTTTAATGACGGTATTAGAAAAAATTAAATATTAAGTATAATTTTAAAAAAAATCAATAATTTGAATTTTAAAACGAACAAAAACTAATAATTTAAATATTAAATACATAATTTACCTTTGGTAGTCAATTCCTACTATTTGAATCCTCTTTGAGAGTTAAAGGTGAACAGCGTGGCTATTAAGGCCAAATGCTGGGGTTTAATTTATTTATGAGTAAATAATAATATAGATTTTTTAATTATTGATTATTATAAACAAAATTTTAAATATTAGATAATTTTTAACGTATATATTTTTTATTAATTTTTTTTAGATAACTACGATTACGTATGTATAAGATTCAGTTTAATTTTTATTAGGGTAAATTACATCATTCCCCATTTAACTTATTGTTTTTCATATTTTATTCATTATTATATTTTTATTTTACTCACTGAAATTTTGAATTGCTCTTATTTTGATTATTTTAAATTATTTTATTATTATTTTTGTGCGACATGATATTTTTTATTATTATTTAATATAAAAATAATTTAAATATAGAATAAAAACAAAGGTGGTCAGCTGTCGCCGTCAACCGTCGTAGATAGTGGTTGTTCGGTTTCAGATTTTATAGTAGCTTTGACTCGACAATATGAGACCAAATCCATCTCCATTTTGTCAGAACTTGCTCCGAAACCATGAATCGTAGATCAAAAGTGAGGGATCCGAAACGTTTCAGTCCAGATTCACAAATTTTAAGATATTTTTTGGTGAAACAATCACCATATTCGAATTTATGAGTCGAGACGAACCGAACTATGAAATTTGAGACTAAATGATCACCATCGACTACCACCAATAATGGCATCCGATCATATTCTATTTTTATTTTATATTTTAAATTATTTTATATTAAATAATAATAAAAATATCATATCATATGAAAATAAATAATTCAAAGTGATCAAAATCTAAAGTTTATTCAGTAAATTAAAAAATTAAAATTACAGTAAGTAAAATTAAGCGGGGAATCATATATTTTATTTTATTATTATTTTTAATATAAACCGTCCTTCGATTTTTTATTTGATTATCCTCGAGGGGAAAAGAGGACTGCGCCGACTGTTTTTGCCGTTTGCCTTTTGCCACGTCGAGAAAAGGTTTGCGAAGCCATGTGATGAGAAGAAAACGACGCGTGGCCGACACGCAGCCATGTGATGAGATGAAAACTCCCACGGAAGTTGCAAAGATTTGACTCATTAGATTCATCTGGAACACGAGATGTTTTTGTGGAGAGCCCTTATTCCTCTGCACAAACCGAAAGCAGTGGTTGTTTATCATCAGCGGTTAACATTCTGTGTTGTACAGTTCATAGATAAGGATCCGAAGTTAGCCGGTAGTGTGATTACGGGTCTGTTAAAGTACTGGCCGGTTACGAATAGCCAGAAGGAGTTGTTGTTTATTAGTGGGTTAGAAGAGACTTTGGAGATGACTAGCATGGCGGAGTTCGTAACGATCACGGTTCCACTGTTCCGGCGTATTGCATTCTGCTTAAACAGCTCCCATTACCAGGTACATTTTCCTCTTCTAATCGCTATGAGAAAAATGTTGACGACATTGCAATATGGGACGGTTTTTGACTTCTCTTGTCCCCCCGTTTGCAGGTGGCCGAACGACCGCACTTGCTGTAGAACAACGAGCATGTCTTTAATCTTATAATGAATAACCGCCAGCTGATATTTCCTCTAATCTTCCCCGCCCTCGAGCGAAATTCCGGGAACCATTGGAACCAAGCAGTGCTTAACCTGACGCGCAGCATAAAAAAGATGTTCTGCGAGATAGATGAGGAGCTTGTGCTCGCCTGCCAGCGTAAGTTGGAGGAGGAAAACTCACGGTCAAGCGAGGCAGCTGAAAAGAGGAAGCGAACATGGGAATGCCTCGAGAGCACTGCTAGCTTCGAACCTGCATCTGCCAACATGATTCTTCCCATGAAACCAGCTGCATGCACGATCGCCTGTTAATCACTCGAGTAAACCGGGTCGAGAAAAGCTAAATACGCATAAATGTATCTCTAGCTGCTCTCATTGTTTGATGTTGTATTCTTGAATTCAGCCAAAATCCGGTTACATTTTGTATACTATAAACATAACTGCTCGAATTAAAAGCTCGTAAAAATAACAGCCCTTTCTTTTACCATTGAAGCTGGTTATTATAATACCACTCTCATAAATATGAACATAAGTTGTACATATACTGGGGCTAGTTCTTCAAAACTGAACTGGGTTTTAACACCGAGTTAGTGGCACTCCAGTCCAGGCCTGATCTGATCACCATGGATATGTCACTGTCATTTCATTTATAGTTAGTGGTTACCAAGTTTTTGTTTGTTTCTTCTGATGTTTGCTTATATTTATGGCAACCATCACCATACACGTGTACTAGTACAAGTTAAAAGCTTCTCTCAATCACGATCTCCCTCCTTTGTCTTCTTCTCCATCGCCTCGTTGCATTTTCTTCTTTAGATCATAATAAAAAAAAACCCTTAAACTCAGAGCTAAATTCAGAACAAAAAGAAGATGTATGCACCACCAAGCTATGAAGCTATGTCGTACCATGAACATGTCCGAAGATGCCATGAAGAAAAGGGTTGTCTTTATGCTTGGTTAGGATGAGTTTAATCCTTCAAAATTTTTAAACAAAACTTCTTTTTTTCTTTGGTTGTGGTTTTTCAGTGTTTGAGAATATTTGCAGTTTGTTCGCACTGTGTTGCTGCTTCTGTTGCTTGGACTGTCTTTGCTGTTGCTTTTGATGGCTTGAAAATTTTATATGTTGAATTATACATACGATGTGTATCTGTATAAACCTATGTTTTGGCAGAATTAAGACTCGTTGCCTTTTCTTTCACCTTCATCATCATCAATTTATCTTTTATGTGCTCAAAAGATACACACGTATATATTTACATAGTGTACAGTATAAAAGGATCTTGTCCGTAATATATATATATATATATGAGACAAGATCTAATTACATTAGTATAAAACTCTTTTAGTTTTATATTTTCTTAGGACGATTCGATGAGAGAAATTAAAAATTTATATTAACAGTAAAAAATGAAAAATATTTACTGAGAAAAAAATTAGAAGTTAATCTTATCTTTAATTTCCTTCGATCTAATGATTCTAAAAAATATAAAATTAAAATAATTTTACACATCGTAGATGAATCCCAATCAAATAATCTGACATGATAACAAAATCATAATTCAGTTCATAAACATAAAATTGATTGTAGGCTTCATTTTCTCTAGAATGATAACAATCTCTTACATGAATATTGATAGGATAATGTGATTCGTCTCAAATTTATTATTTGACAATAATACCTATAAATCACGTCAACATATGAATAATTATTATGATTTTATGTTTGATATCGAGACCGAAAGTTAATAGCATATAAAAATGATCATGCATTAGTAGAAAAGGAGACGTTTTCTTCTTTCAGAATCGAACTGGATACACCATGAATCTTCTTTTACAACCTATCAATAGCACCAATTATCATTTTCTATCCAAGCTGAAAGGAAGTGAATCGCCCACAATTTTCCCAACCTACATTTTACCATGAACAAATTTAAAAGACGATAATCTATCCCTTGTGTATCAACATGCAGAGCCCGTTGAATTTTGGCGATTCTAACCTGAACAAGGCCTGGTGCCAAGGTGTGGGCCGGTTCAGACATAGGCGTGACTAGATACAAATGCCATGGGCTTTGTGGTTTTAGAGTGGGATCCCTTTATTCACACGTGGCCGTTGACGTGTCTCGACTCCCTAATCCTCCGTTCGCTCGATGAATGAAAACTGGGTTTCCATCGATAAACAAATTTGAATAATAATGCTATAGCAAAATAATGACGAATGCTCTCGGGCTAGTTTTTTTAACTTGTTTTTCTCTTGGTTAGCTGTAAGATTTGCGTTTGTTTATGGCGACGTCCCTGTCCATGATTCATCACAACACACGTGTTGGTGCACAAGATGAAGCTTCTCTCAAACGACAATTTTCATCGAAGTCATCCTCCTTCGTCTCCAGTTTTCCCAGTTTCATCTTCTTAGATCGTAATAACATAAAACCCTTGAACTCAACTAGTTTTAGACCAAAAAAAAAAGAAGGAATAAAATGCATGCACCACCAGGTTATGAAGTTATGCCAATATACCATCACCATCAAATTAGAAGGAGCCATGAAGAAAAGGGTTGTCTTCTTCTTCTTCTGTTTTTCAATCTTTTTTCACTGTCTGCGAATATGCAGTTTGTTCGCACTGTGTTGCTGTTTCTTCTGCTACGAGACATGTGAGAGCTGCTTGGAGTTTCTTTGCTGTTTTTGATGCCTTAATATATATATTATGTGTGTGTGTGTGTTGAATTATAAGATATGTGTGTGTATCTGTATTAAACCAATGTTTTGCCATGAAAGTTTGTATAATCCAGCACAATCTATATTCATATGGATTTTCATATAGAGACGATACTTGATCCGTAGAGATGGATCGAAGGGTATTAGATGTAGTTGTATATTTGAAATTTTTTAATTTTTATATCAAGTTCCTAAATCCACACTCTTAATCTAAAATCATGCATCCGTCCCTATCGACTAGTGTGATGATTATACCGATAACCATACGGCAATCCTTACTTAAAAATCACAAATGACAAAATTGTTTTGAATATTCTTACAAGACCAGACTGCCTCCTCTGCTTTAACTGAATCAAGGATTCAGAAAACATACACGCAGGCGGCTAAACTAATCAGTGTGGTCAGCTGTACCGAGACGAGGTTCACGTCGTCGTTGTCGAGATAGTCACGGCCCGCAATCTTCCTCACTGTTGGTCCAGGTTTTGCAACAACCTGCAAAAGAGATTGAAACAATTTCAACAAATGGTTCACTTATCATGGGCATGCCTTACAAGTCCCATGTTCTATGTACCTTCTTTCGGAGTTCGCAGAACCCACAGAATTGAAGGACTGCTCCCAGCAGAGAACGTATGATACTTCCTACAAGTCCGGCCAACGCAGAAAAGGGTATAACTGATAGCTCCTTCAAGGCCATTTTGTCTATACAACTTGTAGTGATCATTCCGGCAAGAACGAATGTTATACCGACTTCAGTCCCCGCTGCCAAAGCCGATATAAGCCCTGTTTTCGTCACGGCTCCATTCGTGCCCCTTAGAACAGGCTGCAACAGAAGAAGCAAAGTGATCAAGAAAAGGAAATCCAATTTCATCAATGCTATGAGAATATAGGCTAACTATCAATCATCTGTTCTGCATAGCAAACTATAACTACCTTAAAATTCGTGATCAACCGAGGCCGGTCACGGCTAAGAATCCCAATCTCCGACGACCACGAGTTAGCAATGCGGCAAGAGAAATGACCGATTATACCGCCGATTAATTTCGTGATAAGAACCGACTCGTTCGAGTCGAGGCACTTGTCCTCCTCCCAATCACTCAGGATCCCAACAAGCACAGACAGAACTGCTACAAAACAACTATTGAGCAAAACTTGTATCCTGAATTAAAGAAATTGGGGAATTAGAATCCCCAATCCGATATCACATTTGCTACTCAGATTCATCATCATACTGAAGTTCAAATCATTGCTCCTGAAATTAGCTCATTCAATTTCTGGCAAATTCTTTGAGCATCAGAGTTTCTAAATTTACAACCCATACTTCCACCAACAACATTGATTTAAAGATTCAGAGCGAGTTATGAATAATATACCAGTTTCTTTGTACGCCTTCCTTAGAATCAACGCCGATTCGTCGTTTCTTTACTTTTCCATCTTCGTTGAGCTTCGACGAAGTAAGGAAGAAGACCAGAAACATTGCACCAAACCTGCATTCCCTTATGATTTTCTTGGCAACCAAACAAGAAATGAATACAAATATCAGGAAAAAGGAAGGACCTGTATCCGGCAGCGAAGTGAATAATCATGACGAGAAATACGGCGAGAGCTCCTGACAATTCAATAGACTTTCTTTTGTAGGATCTAATCGCGATTACGGAAGAGATTAAAACAGGGGATCCATGGCTGGATTAGAGTTACGTCCATTTTCTTTCTTGCTGGGAAAAGTTTCTCGCCTTAGTCCAATCTTCACTTAGAACGACAGTTTTTATAGTTGGTATCAAGTTGGGAAAAGGTTAAAAGATAATGGATATAGTTATAACGGTATTTGAAAAAGTTGGTTAGGGGACCAACGGCTCTTATTTCCACCTCCTTCCTTCACTTAGGTTAGGAGTTAGGTTAGACATGGACTCAGATTCAACGAGTTCCAACTCAATTGGATTCGAGTTTACGATGAATCATCTTTAACCCGGAATAATAATATAATTACCACTTATATATTTAAGAATAATTATAATAATTACAATGTTTCTGCTTTAAAAGTTACAAAATGATCACCTGATTATTTATTATGTTTCAAACTCGTCATTTTATGTTAAAAGATTGATGGTATTATGAGTTCAACATTAACAATGTTGACTGTGATATGATAAAATCTGATCCCAAAATCTCAAACGACTATCATATCTCAGTCATCAAGTTAACGTCCAACTTAGATAACCGTCAATTTTTTAATGAAAAAGGATAGTAACATAATAAATAGTTGGGTGATCATTTTATAACTTTTAATAGTTCGAGGGACTTAACCAAGCAACATTCTATAATCGAATGATCATTTCATAACTTTTAATAGTCGATGGTATATTGTAGTCAAATTACCATTTTTGTACCCTGCCCTTGAAAAATGATAGCCATGCAATAACGATTACGAGAGAGAAAAATAATTTATAGAATCGAGGTCTTATAGTCGAGGGACTTGTTATTCAAGCTCAGCCAAATTATTCTTCGAAAAAATCGATGTCAACAATGTAGTTTAAGTCTTTGCTCACAACGCCAGTCTATATATATATACCTATATATACATACCTATACATATATATACCTATATATATACATACACACAGTACTGTATATCTATATTACCAATCTCATCAAGGTTTTCCGCTTTTGAAATGAAGCTTCAAGCTAACATATGTGTCGTGCTCTTGTCATCAATTTTCTATATTACCATTTCCGAAGCCTCCATCTTCAACCCACACCCAGGTAATAAAAACATGGTTAAAGTACGTATTTAGCATCTAAACTATCAGTTTTAGTACCTAAACTTTCATTTTTGTTTCAACATTTAACATTAAATTTTGAATTGGATATTAAAATGAAATAAAAACTAAACTTTAGGTGTGATTTTGAAAAAAATTGAAAGTTTAGGTATTAAAACGGATCAAAACTGGTAGTTTATGTACTAAATACGTAGTTTATCCTGAAAAGCATTTGATCATGTCCCCTGTTAGCTAACGACCATGGTTGCATTCATTCATGTTGTTTTCCCCTTTGGTTGCAGTTAACGCCTGCGACGTCGTAAACTGCGGAAAAGGGACTTGACGAGAGACGGATAGTTCGTCGTTCGGGTTCGATTGCGATTGTAATTCCGGTTGGACGAAGTATCAGATCGGTGCCCTCACCTTACCACCCTGCATTGTTCCCACCTGTGAGCTCCCTGCCTGTGTTTGCATTGATTTTTTTATGCTTCTCCGATGACATTTATTTATTTTCTTTTTCTTTCAGGCACGCTTAGCTCCGATTGCGGCACGGGGGTCCTTCGCCGCCGACACTGCCTCGACCGGAGTTTAATTTGACCGACCGTATGCCCTTAGGACCACTTGTCTAACTTGGTCACTATTACTATTTAGTTTGATTTTGTGTCGTTATTTTATGTAGCTTGTAGCTATACTTGGTGCGGTGATGGAAGCTGTAAGACGAATGGGAATAGCTACGAATGCGATTGCAGTGCGGACTCCCATAATTTTCTCAACGCCACAGCCTTACCCTGCTTCAAAGAATGTAATGTTTTATATATCTAAATCCCGAATTCTTAAAAGGTAAATAACGTATTTAGTACTTAAATTATTAATTTATGTCCTTTTTAGTACCTAAATTTTAAGAATAATTTTGAAAAAAATTAAAAATTTAGATACCAAAACGGATCAAAACTGAAAATTTAATATTGTTTATGGTTATGTTTGACTTCGTTAAATATAAACTTTGTTTCATTTCTAGACTGTCATAGTCTTTGCTTTGCTTCGGGTTCTCTAGGAGCGGATTGCCACCGTCCTGATCTCGGCACGCCGCCTCCGCTCCCGCCCGACCAGTCATCATCTCCTATCAAAGATTGTTGGACATCGTTAATTTTTGGTGCTTTGTTTCTTCCTTTGATATAACTGTGAAGACATCACTGTAATATTAAACTTCTTTTTGTTAATTTCAATAAAATATTATTTGGATAAATTGTGTTAATGTAAAACTCTTTTAATTTTATACAGATTTATGATCGTTAGATGAGTGAAAACGAATGATTGAGATTAAAGGAGTTATATATATATATATAGAGAGAGAGAGAGAGAGCTACGATCCAATTACATAGTGTAAACTTAAAAAAAATTATACATTTTTAGGATTGTTGGACGAGAGGATATCAAATGTTGAGATTAATAGTAAAAAGTAAAAAGATATTCGTCGTAAAAAATAAAAATTAATTAAAGGCTACATAAAATTTTATATAGTCGAGGGACTATTTTATAACTTTTAATAGTCAATGAACTCAATAAAATAATATCCTATAGTCAGAGAATAATTTATGTACTTTACCCTTTTTTAAATCATTTATTTAATAAAATATTTGATTTTTACATTGACGTTGAATTTTAATATTCAAATTCAACTCGCTCAAAAACTAGGTTCAAAGAAGGGGGATGTCTAAGGTGCGACATAATTAATATATGGTTAAAGAAAGACGCTATCGAAAATGTTAATGTTTTTTAATATTTATGGTAAAGCGCTACATAAAACATTAATTTTCTACCGAAAATATTAATATTGTACGCTATCAAAATTATCATTTTTTTCTATTTGTATTTCTATCGAAAATTAGATAGCGAAATTAATATTCTCAGTAAAAATAATATTTTAAATAATACATTATTAGAAACATTAAAAAATATTAAAATTTTCGATAAAATCTTTCTTTAGTGGTGCAGTATGGCATAACTACCACAAAGAATGGGGAATAAGTAATGGAAATTATTGAAGTGGCAGCGGGCATTAAAGGCACTTGCCAAGTAAAAAGAGGCATATAAATTCAGTTGCCACTAGGTCCACTGCCGAGTAATGACTATACGCAAACGTACTTGAAGCTTTCGCTTTCATGTTTATTAATCGGGTAAACTACGTATTAGCATCTAAACTATCAATTTTAATTTATTTTAATATTTAAACTTTTAATTTTTTCAAAATTATACTTAACATTTAATTTTCATTTCATTTTAATATCCCGTAGTTAAAAACTTAACACGTTTAATACCTAAACTATTAGTATTGGTCAGTTTTAGTGCTTAAACTTTTAATTTTTTCAAAATTTAACGTTAAATTTTGAACGTGGTATTAAAGTAAAACAAAACATAAACTAAAGTTTTAAAAGGCGAAGTGCTACAATGAGACAAAAAATATACTTTATGTATGATTTTTAAAATATTGAAAGTTTTGGTACTAAAACATATCAAACTGATAATTTAGACACTAAATGTGTAATTTACCCTTATTCAAATCTACTTACATTTTATAATATATATATATATATATATATATATATATATATATTAATCAAATTAAATTAAATATGTTTTTTAATCCGTCATAAGGAGCTTCATTTCTTGTTGTATGGGATCAATTGGAAAACGTCACAATTAATGGTTTCAACAAACAAACCAGCTGTAGTACAACAAAAACAATCTTTTAATCAACGTTTTTATAAATTTATATTTAATAAAAGTGAGTGTAGAAATATTATAATTTTTGATATTATGTTTGTTTTAATTTAATAGTGTTTAAGTTTAATAAATATTGTGCATTTAGCACTTGAATTTAACTCATTTTAAATATAATATTTGTTTTATTTGTCAGACGTGATACTTGAATTTAACAAAAATATTACATATTTTAACATACAAATATAACGTGTGCCATTATGTATTAGGTGACATTTTATAAAAGGAAATAATGTAGTATTAGAAAATATCACTTCAACCAAAATATTAGGAATTTATAAGTGAAAAATAAAAAATACGATATAAACATACGATATATAATATTTTATGTATCATAAAATCTGATATATCTACTAAATCTTAATGTATGTCAAAAAAAAATTCTCAGCATCCTTACAAAATTCGTCTCTGTAATGTAAAACTCAAAAATTTCAGAGACTACAAAAATATTACATTTCTAAAATTTAATTATTTTCTTGTAATTATAAATGCTAAAACATGCCCTATATTTATAAGGTAAAATAATTAACCATTAAATTTAATTACATGAAACTTATGGCCTAAAGTAAATATTTACTCATTAAATAAATTAAAATATCAAAAAAATTAATCATTAAGATTACAATAAAATATAATTTGATCGGTCGTTAATCTTAGATCCTCAATAAATAAAAATGATAAAGTACACAAAAGATCCCTCAACTATAGAGTGTTGCTTTATTAAGTCCCTTGACTATTAAAAGTTACAAAATGACTATAGAGTGTTGCTTTGTTGAGTCCCTCGACTATCAAAAGTTACAAAATGGTCACCCGACTATTCATTATGTTTCAAACTCGTCCTTTTTCGTTAAAAAATTTGATGGTACTCTAAGCTGAATGTTGACTTGTTGATTGTGATATGATAAAATCTGGTCACAGAATCTCAAACGACTATCACATCCCAGTCATCATATTAATGTCCAACTTAGACAACCACCAATTTTTTAACGAAAAAAGAGGAGTTCAGAACATAATGAGTAGTCGGGTGATCATTTTATAACTTTCTATAGTCGAGGGACTCAACAAAGCAACACTCTATAATCGGGGACCATTTTGTAATTTTTAATAGTTGAAGGACTTAATAAAGTAGTATCTTATAGTTGGGGGACCATTTGTGTACTTTAACCTAAAAAATTATGGTTTGAAAAGTTTGTCCCATTGAATGATTATCCAATTGCATCGATTCGGGTCTACCAAAATCAAGAAATCGTCTAAGTGAAAAGTCATAACCTGTTTTACCTAACAAAGTTAAAATCATACTTCAACTAATCAAATTACCTTTTTCTTTTCTTTTTTACCTTGACAAAGCCACAGTACTAGGATGGAAGAATATATACTTCACGGGTCCATAATTGTATGCATGAAAGTGACCAAACCTTAAATTATTCTAATTTGGTAATGAAATAGTAATTAATAATCAATTTTCAAACATTTCAAACCACTTCATGTTTAATTCCTGCTCACGCAATTAATATTATCTAATTATTTTAATCAGGGTAAAGTATACAAATGGTCCTCCGACTATCAGGTACTGTTTTATTAAGTCCATCAACTATTAAAAGTTACAAAATGATCCTCTGACTATAGAGTGTTGTTTTGTCGAGTCCCTCGACCATCAAAAGTTTCAAAATGTTCATCCGACTATTCATTATGTTCCAAACTCGTATTTTTTCGTTAAAAAATTGACTATCATCCAAGTTGGATATGATAATCTTTTAAGATTATGGTATAATATTTTAATATATCAAAGCCAATAGGATATCGACATCATTTTAGCTTTTTCTTAAAGACAATATCAGCAACTAGTTGACAATAATAATAACATATTAATATAATATTGGGCAAATTATACGTTAGTACTTAAACTATCAGTTTTGGTTTATTTTAGTACCTAAACTTTCAATTTTTTTCATAACTATACCTAAAGTTTAGTTTTTGTTTTATTATAGTACATGTCGTTAAAAATGTAGTTTTTGTTTCATTTTAGTATATCCGTTCAAAATTTAACGTCAAATTCTGAATTTTTTTGAAAGTTAAGGTACTAAAGCATACCTAAAATTAGGTGAATCATCATGCACGACCAATGTCGTGAATGAAATGAACAATTAGACAAAAAAATTAGGTGAACAAGAAATTCATATGTTTTACTCTTTGATTTTGGTCATGGAAATGGCATTAGGTATAACCAAAATTGTCTCTGCAACTCAATGCACCTTCACCAAATTTAATTAATATATTTGTGTTGTTGTTTTTTTCACGTTATATTTTGATTATTCTTTAAACCAATGAGATCGTATAATTTATATGAGAAAAAAATATTTTTCTTTAAATAATATTGAATACTTTATTATTCAAACTTATGACTGTCCAAATTTTGTGCACAGAATAAATCGACCATTCTAATAATTGAAAAATAAAATACTCGATATTTCAAAAACTGTGTAGCTGCATCGTCTGTTTTCGATCTCGAGATCAAAATCAAAGAGTATTTTATTTTCCATCTGTTTCCCTTTATTTTTAAAGAAATTTAATTTATTTCCTTTATTTTTCTCAGTTTCGAATTTCTTCTCGGATTGTTACTTCGGGTAACAATTTATACATAAAACAACACGTTACATGGTAATCCAACTTTTATAAAGTTATATACATTTGGTGTTTTATGTAAAATACCGAACTATATATGACTAAAGACTAAATACAATAAAAAGTATTCATGTGATAATAAATAATAATTAATTAAAAAGTGAATTTTACAAATTTCTGCATGTGGAAACTAATTGAAGTCTTTATAGGGTTTGCCTATTCAAAACCTACTCAATAAAGAAACTTTATACATATTAAAACTACGGATGGGAGTTGAAAATTTGAAATACAGATAGTTTGTCCAGTCTATGTGAGCATATATACATGATTTACTTTTTTATGGATCCAATTGTAAAATTTTAAAAATAAAAGGATGAAACAAATAATAACACAAATATATAATTGTCTCAATACCGAAGTGTCATTTCAAAAGACTAGAAATCAAAGTAGTCAACAATGTGCAGGTCGACCTACTATTCTTCTATTATTCACTTGAATTATAAACTTTAAAATTATTAATCAAAAACGATAATTTAATGACATCATTATAATTTAATTTAAAATATAACTATATGAATTTAGAATTAATTAATTAATATAAAATATTAAAATCTTATACCAATTAATACAAGCCAATATGTACATATACAAATCGAAATTTAAATAAAATACATCGAAACGAATGAAATATACAAAAGTTGGCTAAAATAAACTTTATATTATTTGATATCAGTTTAAGACTGATGTATTGATAATGAAAAAATTGTTAAATTCAAATACTATCATTGATAAAAATATTTAAGGGTCAAATTGAAAAAAAACTAAATTCAGGGATTGAAATTTAATTTACCCCAAGAAAAAGTGAGAATTAGTTAAATTGGTATTGGCGTGTCTCCTTGTTTTGCCGGTGAGAAGAAGAGCGGTAAAATTAACTGTGTGAAAATTCTCGGGTTGTTGTTGTTTTTCTTTCCCAACAGTGTTAATTTCAAATCATTAATTCCCAGCCGCACTCGCAGGCCTACCAATCATAAAGCCCAACACCATCCACCGCATGCGTAGTCCCCACTCCCCAGCTAAATGATCTCATCAAAATCAACGATCACACCTTTACGAACACGTGTCACTATTTTAGAGCGAGTACACAGTCTATGTATTCGGAAGGATGTGTCGTCGTTAATATTTTATCCTTCCCGTGGGCCTTCTTCCGCACAACTGTGATGTATACAAAATAAAAATAAAAATTAAACGACGAAGTGAACTACAAGTTTAGCTGAAAACAGATTCAAAACAGAAGAAATTAAAGAAAATGCAGTAAAGTAGAGAGAGAGAGAGAGAGAGACGCCATAAATGCAAAGCTCAACTATCAATCCATGAGACCAATATAAGCACTCTTTCTTTTGCATACATTAAAGCTCCGCCACATTTCTGAATCTCACATTCAACTCTCATTTTTGTTTTTTGGTGTTTTTTTCCTTTCCTTTTTGGTGTTTTTATATCTTTGATCGGAGGCAATGTGGAACGCGGCGGAGAACGTGTTCTCCAGGTCGGCGTCGTTCAGGAAGGAGGACGATGATGATGAGGCGTTGAAGTGGGCGGCGCTGGAGAGGCTGCCTACGTACTCGAGAGTTCGAAGGGGAATATTCAAGAACATAGTCGGTGACTCCAAAGAAGTGGATGTGAGCGGGCTCGAGATGACCGACCAGAAGCTTTTACTCGAACGGCTCGTTAATTCCGTCGATGATGATCCCGAACGGTTCTTTGATCGCATGAGGGAACGATTCGACGCGTAATGATTGCCTGCTTTCTCTTATTAATTTTTTAATGTTAATTAATGCTTTTGTTAACTTAAACAGAAAGAACACATAGACTTTTTGCTGTGTTTTGATCATAGAATATAGACAAGACTAGAATATCAAGATTTATGGACTTTTGCGCTTTTTCTCTTTAAAAAATTGACGTTAACTTGACCGTACGATTTAACTGGGGTTAGGCTAAGCCAGTCTATGGAAATATATTTTAACTGAAAATAATTAACGTATAGTACTGACGGTTCCCTGTAATTAGAAGCAAGAGCTTGTTTCCTTTTGCGATGAATTTCATTCAAATTTGAAACCACTCGCCTTATTTTACTGAATTCTCCGTAAATGATAGTGTGTATATGTTATATTTAAATTCTACAACTCTACCTTGCAATTATTTGCGATAGTCAAGTAAACTTTATTTGTCATATTTTTATTAAAAAATTAAACTTGTCGATTCTTATAATTTTTTATGATTTATTAAATGTTAGAACATTTTTCGTTTTTATAATTTAAACATTTTTTTGTAAATGAGAACAAAAACTAAAATTTATATTTATTCTTTCAATAAATTCAACATTTTATTTTGAAGTTATTGGTTGAGGTTGTTATTATCATTCTCTCCTAGAGTAATCTTTATTGTTGTTTAAAATTTGCTATGGTTTGTGGTCTTGCAGAGTGGATTTGGAATTTCCGAAGATTGAAGTTCGATTCCAAAATCTGGCTGTTGAATCTTTTGTCTATGTTGGGAGCAGAGCATTACCAACTATTCCCAATTTTATTTTTAACATGGCCGAGGTAACAATTAATCCCTTTATTAAAATAACATATAATGCTATTTTCTTAATGGCCATGCTAATATTAAAGTGTATTTTTCAGGCACTTTTGAGACAGTTGCGTTTATATCAAGGAAGGAGAAGCAAGTTGACTATATTAGATGGATGTAGCGGGATTATAAGACCTTCAAGGTATGTTTAAACGAGCTTCCATTTCCTATTTCTCGTAATGGGTTTTAATTATGTTGAAGTGCTACATCGTTTATTAATTTAATAAATGCAGATTAACGCTACTATTGGGTCCTCCAAGCTCGGGAAAGACTACGTTTTTGTTGGCTCTGGCTGGACGCCTTGGATCTCATTTGCAGGTATCCGGATACTTGGAAGGTTCTATGGTAGCTGTCGTAACTGCCAATTATTTTGTCCCATATTGGAGTCCTAGACCTGAAAATAGGGAAAATAAAGGCAAAAACCAGAGGACATTTGCATTTCCTACGGTTTACATAGTTAAGAATTGATAGGATAGTAGTAGCACCGTAGCGTGCAAAATAAGGCATGAAGATGGTCTTAACTGTTCTATGTCGTTAAGTGGGCTCAAGATATGTCATTGGAACTGCATATATGTTTTGTTAATTAACATTAAGAATCAAGAGTAGGATCATTAGACAAGTATGGATCTAAAATTCCATTCAGCATGATTTCAATCCCAATTAACCGGACATAAATGGTGATACTATTGAACTATATTTGCACCTTACCTTCCACCGAGGAATTTAGTTCTCTACAAATATTTCCCTTTGCTATTCCATTCTTGTTATTCATTATAGTTTATTACTTTGTAGATGTCTGGAAAAATTACTTATAATGGACATGGACTAAAGGAATTTGTTCCTCCAAGGACATCTGCTTACGTCAGTCAACAGGACTGGCATGTGGCTGAAATGACAGTGAGGGAAACACTTGAATTTGCTGGAAGGTGTCAGGGAGTTGGATTTAAATACGGTAAGCATTGAGAAATCATTTTTATGCCCATATTCGTTATTCTTCATTGTTCACTAACGCATACCTGCAAAAGATATGCTTTTGGAACTTGCAAGAAGGGAAAAGAATGCTGGGATAAAACCTGATGAAGATCTCGATATCTTTATGAAGGTATGTGCCATGAGTTGCCAATATTACTTGGGCTGTTACGATATCATTTTATTAGTTCAGGATGCTAAGAGTTATTATTGGTCTTTCTTGTTTCTAGTCACTAGCTTTGGGGGGGAAAGAAACAAGCCTCGTGGTAGAAAACATCATGAAGGTATTCTCTAGATGCTGATCACTGCAAGATGCATGTCCCATTATGTTTCTTTTAATACCTCAAGTGGCATGCTTTTCTTGCAATTGGCAATTTAACAAGCTTTATGTTGTTTGTTAATGGTTTTTCTGAAGCATTAAAATTCATCTTACAAAGATTTTAGGGTTGGACTTGTGTTCTGACACATTGGTGGGCGATGAAATGCTTAAAGGTATATCAGGGGGACAGAAAAAGCGGCTCACAACAGGTTTATTCTTTGTACCTTTTTTCTTCTTGCTTACTAAGAAGCTTTCTGTTTTTCATTTATGCTGATTTGTCATAACTGTTATTTCAGGTGAATTATTAGTTGGGCCGGCTAGAGTGTTGTTCATGGATGAAATATCAAATGGGCTTGATAGTTCTACTACTTATCAAATTATTAAATATCTGAGACACTCAACTCGTGCACTGGATGGGACTACTGTAATTTCTCTTCTTCA